CAGAAAGTTTTATAGTGTCCTCATCTAAAAAAAGTTGGGAATATTGATCTGTAAAAAAAAAAAAAATTAACTTGTTCAAACACAGTACGATGACGGCATAAGTGCAGGGCCACTATTTCTTTAAAAGACACACAACTATGCTGTATGTATCCATTCCTGAGCAAAAATGGATACAAAGAAACCCAATAAAGGGCCTAAATTGGAGATGTTTGGGTGGGGTGTGCCTGGTTTGGTTTTGGTTTTACTGGCTTCCTATTTATGCAACCATCATTAAATTAAGACCTATAATTTACTTTGGAATTATTATTTCTGTCTTTAAGAGAATGAGAGGTGTGTCAGAAATTGCATATACCCAGGAAGAGGGAAGCTTTTCTCACTCTCAAACTGTAATTATCTGATTTGGAAAACTTAAATGTAAAAAAAAAAAAAAAAAAAAAAAAAATCAAGAAAAAATGTTATTTTAACTGTGGGCCCCAGTACAGCCACAAAACTCCTCATAGGATCCTGAAAAGCAGAATGCATGTGTATATGAACACACGTGTGATTATACATACATGTGCATACACACATACTCTGTTGCTTGAGAGCAATCATTGAAACGACAAAGCTCAAAAGTCCCAAGATTGTGCTGGTTATCACCGATGATGCCAATTCACAAATATGTCTTAGCAACTTACATGCCAAAAGCTCTTGTTTATGACCCAAGGAAAACATTCATTTTATCACCATTCCACTAAAACGTTCTGGAAGCTGAAGCTGGCAATTCAGTGCCTGTCTACTGCTTTTCAAGGACAAAGAGACTGACAGACAGAAGCTCATAGAAAAGTGTGAATTAAAGACCCTAAAGCCTGACATGTGGAAAGTGAGGCTCCTAAGGAGGTTAACAGTAACTCTGCTGGTGAACTTCTTTAGGCTGTTTTGACACCATTCAACAGTTTTAAGCTGACTGGAGCTTAGTACTCTGGTCATGAGATCTTGCAGGCTTTATGAACTTTCCATTTTGCAGCAAGGCACAACTTCACCAAGAAGCAGACAAGAGCCATCACCTCCTTAGCCCAGCTTAACCACCAGCCTCATCCAAGTTCCAGGTCAGGTACTGGGATTTTCACACCAAGGCGGATGAGGCACCCTACAGCCACAGCTACAGGATCAGGCTTTGCAGACACTAGACACCTAATCTACTGATTTCAGGATGAGAAAAAAAAAAAGTGTTAAACTGAGCAAATTCCTGGCAAGAAGGAAGTAGTTTTACACCTATGCAGAAGCAGAAATCTAAGCACATAGAAGGGGGTTTGTACCTCTAAAATTACCTAAAAGATCAGACAAAGGTTTTGTGAATTGTAGCCTTGTAATTATGTCTCAATTCTACCCAAGTACTATTCTAGGCCAGCAAAGGTTTTGCAAATGGCACTTGGATCACTGTGTCCAGACAGATGACTAGATTAACACTGGGTCTCTTTGTGGACCTATGCTTAAGTCTGCTGTGGCAAGGGTAAAGAATTAAATTTGAGCAAAAACTTCCACAGACTAAATGCCAAAACCAGGAAGATGAGCAAGCTGTGCTTCATTAAATAAATTGGGAATCACCCACAACAATGCCAAATGAATGCACACAGTCATGCCCAGCTTCTGAAGTAACAGTGGGTACCTGGGCCTGGCTACCATGCAAGCAGAAAACTACCTGGGAATTCCAAAGCTAACAAGTTACAGATGAACACTTCCTGAACATTAAAGCACACACACAAAAAAAAGAGTTTGCTTGCTCCTGGTGTTATGGATTGCCAGAAATCACACCAGAATAGATCAATTTCTATCTGGTTTTCATACACAAAAAACTTCTGTTATCTGACAAGCAAAGCAAAGTCTCAAGAGGGTAAATATTTATAAGCTTAAATTAGCAGGCTGTGATTTTTTTTTTTTTTAAAAAGTAGTATCCTATTCTTTCTAGTCCAGTTGAGAACCAAACAAGGTGCTGTTCTGCCAGGCAGCCTCCAAAGATATTCCTTAGCCTGCAGTGCTATCAGCGACAACAAATTGAACAGCATTTACATGATTTGCTTGACTACCTCTGTTCCTTGCACTGTCCTATCTTCATCCTTCCAAACATCATTTAGTAGGTAAAAGCAAGCTTTGCCAGCAAACAAAGAGGGAAAATTAGTTGTTTCCACGGATACATACTTACGCTATTGTATGTGCGATGTTGTGGCACTGGGCATACAATAATGATGCTTTCACGACTGCTGTTCATTAGCTTCACTCATTCTACAGCATTTTCCAAAGATACAACTGGCCAGTTAATTTGCTGAATTTTGCTATTTGCTAATTTGACAAATTTGTTAATTCATCAGTTGTCTGCTCTGAAAAGGGAGACAGCAGAACTAGAACTTGGCTTTAGTGCATTTTATTGAGGACAAGCTTTCTTAGAACTGAAGACCAGAAAAAAAGTGTGTTTTCACCAAAACAATCAGATAAAAATAATTAGATCAGGAAGAAAATAATCAGCAACAAGATCTCACAAAAATAAAACAAAGACATGGGAAGTTAAGTTTCAGGAACAAGACAAGTAGCCATCTTTAATGCACTTGTTTTAGCTGGTATTTTAGAATAGCTCTTTTACACATCATTTTACTCAGGGGAAAAAAAATAATAGAAGTTGTTTACCATATGTAAACAACAACTAGTCACTTCAAAATCATTAGAGAACGGTTTTGCTACCTACCATACACATCAATGTTGCTTCTGAACAATGACTCTGATCACTTACAGCCTCCACTGAAAACGAGGAACAACCCCACCATTTTAATTCTTTCCTCCCAAAATAAAAACCTTCATGATTTTTTTCTTCTTGCTAATACTTACTGATACACCAGTGAAAGGAATAACTCATCTTGAATGTGCATTAATTACTGGCTACTCCTTTAACAAACACCAATTAAGGCTACCACATGGGAATAAAGCCCACTATCTTTAAATGAAAGCTTTTTAGTATTAGAGCATTAGTTTAATGACGTAAGTATGATATACAGTTTGCCTATTCCCAAGCAGGTTTTTGCTTGTAGCCTTTTTTGCTTTATCCAGTCACATTGTGTCATAGGTCTTGTCACTCTAGTTGTGAAGAAATCTATAAATTACCTAAAGTTAATATTTTCTTCCAGGGTCAACTTACGCCATTTTCATTGCTCTTTAATGAAAATAAGAAAGCTGTTGACAACATGGGAGGAACCGGATAAAAAAGAAAAAAAAAAAATCCAGTCTTTTCTTCAAGGAAAAATCTGTATGATGTGGACATCCACCATGGATGAACAGATAAAGGCATGTTCTGATGGATAATGTGAGGTTGGATGCTTGAATTATTTAACTGCTCTTAGCCACTTTCCTCTGCCTAAATAACCTAGGAAATGGGATATCTAAATTTTATATTTGTAGCACTTTAGCGAGTTTGTTGTACCTCAAATGATATGAGTTTGAATGGATACTAGCAAACTTTTCAGTCTTGCACTGAACCAACTATACTGTCTCAACTCATCACCATACTCTTAAGTGAGTTAACTCCTCTAAAGCCAACTTACTGGTAGGAATTTGCAGCAGCCAAGTGCCCCAAATAGCACCTAGTCTCAGCTGCCAATTAAACCTTCTCTTTAAAGTCAGAGACCCATTACTGCAATATTCCCTGAAGCCCGCCCTAGGTTGCTAGGGTGCTACATAAGGAGGTATGTACGATACTTCACATAATGAAGTATAGCACAGAGATGTAAGAATTAATGGAGAACTAACCCAGTTAAGAGCCATAGGCAAAGCAACTGTCATTAGCAGTGTCCTGCTTGTTCCCTGCTATACCAGTCCTACATCAGGCTGATATGACTGGACTGAGACAACCACAGCCTATAAAAACATACAATCATAGAGTAGTTTGGGTGGGAGGGGAGTTTAAAGACCACCTGCTTCCAGCCCCACTGCCATAGGCAGGGCCACCTTCCACTACACCAGGTTGCTCAAAACCCTGTCCAGCCTGGACCTGAACACTGCCCAGGATGGGGCAGCCACAGCTTCTCTGGGTAACCTGTTCCAGTCTCTCACCACCTTCATAGTGAAGAATTTCTTCCTAATGTCTAATCTAACTCTACTGTCTATCAGTCTAAAGCCATTTCCCCCCTTGTCCTGTCACTACATGCACTTGTGAAAAGTCCCTCTCCAGATTTCCTGCAGGCCTCCATTAGGTATTGGAAGATTGTCATAAGGTTTCCCCAGAGCCTTCTCTTCTCTAGGCTGAACAAGCTCAGCTCTCTCAGCCTGTCTCCATAGGAGAGGTGCTCCAGTCCTCTGAGCATCCTCGTGGCCTCCTCTGGACTCACCTGAGCAGGTACAAGTCCCCCTTGTGTTCAGGCCTCCAGAACTGAACACAGAGGCCACCTGCAGATGGGACCTCATGAGAGAGAGTACAGGGGGAGAACCACCTGCAAGCAGTTGGCTCCATCTGAACTCCATACTACATGGACCTACCTTCTTCAGTTCCACCATCATGAAAACCCCTGCACCACCCCAGCTGCTACAGAGTAAATGTGTTCTGTGACCCAAAGTAAAAGCATGTCCAAATAATTCTTTGACAATTTCAGAGATCTTATTGTATGCAAAATGTTAACCAAAACCAAGATTCTTTCTCCGTATCTTCAAACCCCATATATACAGCCAATGGAAAATGCCATCTGTAGTATTGCTAGTAATTTTGTTCAAAGTTGTACCTCTCAAACTGCACTCATAAATAAACCCTGCTATTTGACCAGGGAATGAGATTCAAGTGTAAGGTGACACTGAAAACTTGCCATCAAGTCTGCCATACTTACTGTGACTCAAAACATTGTCACAGAATTTCTGGAATAGTCAAGTCTTCCTCAATGAAGAAAAATCCCTGTATTTAAGACTATTTCTTAGATCTTAAAGAATTCCAAAAGTTTAATGAAAGAAGATACTACTTCTGAAGAAAAACACTGACAGTAAGAGAATATTTTCAGAGCTCATAATGGATCATTATTCAGTAAAAATACACTAAAATTGAAACACAGAATCACAGAATATCTTGGGTTGGAAGGGACTCATAAGGATCATCAAATCCAACTGCCTGCTCCTCACAGGAGCATAACTGTATATAACTTTACACAACCATAAAATATTTCAGTTTTCTTTTAAATAATCTTAAATTTTAATTATGAAAATAAATAGGAAAAATCAATGCAGCATTAGGAAACTGTGCCGAGCAAGCAGAAATGAAGCTGTTGCACAATGTATCTGCTGAATCTCCTACGACCCAAGGCTGTGGATTTCAGTTTTTGGCACTGGATTCCAACAAGTCTTTCGCTTCATTTATTTTTGTTGCTAAATAAGGTGATCCACCTGAGAAGAAAAAGGGGACAGTAATACCATTTACACATCAGTATTAAGTACCAAACTCTTCACTTGCAACACCTCTTTATTACTCACTTTTATTAGCTCTTCCTTCCTAAATTGACCCTTTTCATACAACTGCTTTAAAAATGACATTGACATGAAGCAAACCAATTGATAAATATGAGAAATGTAACCAAAACTGAAGTCACTAAAGAGTTACACTGAACAATTTATCTCAGAGAGAAGACTCGAGATCTGAAGTCACTTTACATCACTGTGATTTAGACTCGCAGTGCAATGCTGTTGCAAATGTATGCAAGGTCAGCTGTCTTGAACATTTAGCTAGAGCTAACAGCTATTATTTCCACTCACCCCAAAAAACTAAGAGGTAAAATTTTATAAGTAATTTTGACAAAGAATCATTACATGTGTGCACTTGCGTACATCTCCCAAGCCTCTTGTGTGCTAGATACCCAAAATCACCAGCCAGAAACCATCACATTAAAGCTATTTAAACATTGTACGCCTTCTAACTTCTAGCCCTGAACACTGTCATTGCTTCATGCTCCATCTAACAATCTGATTACAGTTCAGTGGTCTTTTTGTGTTTGGGATTTTTTTCACTCTCCCCTTGAGTGCCAACCATCTGCCTACAGTCACTGAAGCCAACCTGACAAGGTCTGTCTCAATAACTTACCATTTACTATAAGACACCTGTACATTTACATGAAAATGTGATTCTAACAAAATTGTGCACTGAATAGCATTTTTCAAGGCATCTATTCAATCATATTTTTTCATTCATCATTTCATTCATTCTATTAATCAGAAAAGATAATGATAGAAGAAATACACAGAAGTAGTTGTAGACACACAAAAAAAACCCAAACCAAAATGTAAGTCTGGCTTAAAGGCTTCTTTAGGACATTCCTGCAGGAATCCAAATCATTATAAAGTTGTATCATGGTGTAATAAAACAACTGGAAAAGGTGATAGAGTTCTCTTGTTCATGTTTTGGTTTTGTTTGAATGTAGTCCTAATGGAAGACACACTGGAAGAAAGCAAGGCAGGGCAGGGGAAGGGTAGAAAACTGGTTACTGGAAAATTTATTTATTATTTTTTTTAAAAACAACTGGACTTTTATACAGGAATAGGATTTACTACATCAGGTATTGCTTCATTCAAAGAGTAGCCAGGAGGATCAAACAGTAAAGACTAAAAACTGCAATAAACAATGTATCCCAAGTAATTTCCAAATGTGCACTGATTTTCTACATGTCTAGAGTGCAGGATCTTAAAGTAAATTCAAATCTGCTGGAAGTGTTTTCACTACATTTACATCCTTAAGTGCCATATTAATTTTGTAGCCCTCCAATGAGAGAAAATTCAATCTCATGATTGCCTAAGTGTTTGTTTATAATTAGGGCAAGTCCAAAAGGCTTCTCTCTCACTCTTTTTCCGTGAGCAAATACTCTTTCACAAAATTACTAACTGACAAATTAACATACAATTTATCAATTAAAACTCTTTAAAACTGAACTGTAAAGGTTAATAAGCAACCATTTTAGTACTGCTCACTGGGGAAAGTTTTAATGCAAACTTCTATATATTTCTTATTTGTCTCTAGTAACTCTCTCCAACATTTTTGATTTCATAACATATGTAACTTTTAAAGTCTGTAATTATTGCCCTTTCTTCTGTCAACTCCAGCTGGTAATTTAAACAGTAATTTAAAATAGCTTTCTAATGTCAAATATTATTTTTAAAAGCACATCTGTGCTACCCACAGCCAGAAGAAATCAAGATATACATAAGCAAAGAAGTCTCTCTGTGATGCCACATGTTCAAGATGACTTCAGGCCCTCTCTCTCTGCAGCTGAAGACATTACACAAGCTTTTTTTCTATGACCATGCCAGAAGAGCTGCAGGCCCAGCAAAGAGGCACAAATTCCTTCAAATGGTGTCCCTACTGAGAAAATGCTCCAACTTAATAGCACACAGGAGGGCTCACTGCATCCATCCAGACCTACACTGTGCCCAACTGCAGGTGCATTACAGCTGTAAGACCAGGTTATTAAAATGTATGATCTTAGTAACAGGAACTGCCTCTTTAGGTCTGCTCAACATTCCACAGAGAGATTCACAGTGCTGGCTCACATCTCTAAGTACTGCTACAATAAGCTTAGAAGTTTATTATAAAAAATTTTGACGTAATTGGTACCCTGATGGTTAAGAGGCCTTTGACCATCGTAATACATTACAAATGCAGCAGAAGATTTCTACAGCTGTGCAGTTTATGCATTATAAAAAGTGTAAAAAATGAAAGCATGGAATTGAATAAGCAAGACAACTTTAGAATTAAAGTGAGGGGTGAAGACATAAAAGAAAAGCAACACCTAAAACCTTTCCATGGCCAGTTATTTTTTTCATTTTCTTAAAACAGGGTGCTGGCAAGGAGCCCTGTAATTCTGTCAAGAAGATATAAAAACCCTCCAATTTCCCCTTTTGACTTCTGAAATACATTGCAATTCTTCACCATCTGTTATTTTAAAGTAGAAACAGCAATGAACATATGGGCTTTCTTTCTCAACCAGCTGTAGTGTAGTTAAAGTTATAATAATAGCCTTTCCGTAAGATAAATTTACATTAAAAAACTGGCCACTAAGGCAACATTGCCCAGCTTTACATTTCTTCCAAGTGAATTCCAGGAAGTCTGAAATTCATCAATGATGTACTTAGTGACTGCAGAACATTTGCTCCCAGAAAGTTACTTTCATATGTGTGACTGGTCCCTCTCAGTTCAAAACAGGAATGTCAGTTTAATACAAAAATGTTATAACTAATTTTTTCATATTTTTAATTATTTTTAAGTGTGGAAGACTGGTCCCTGAGCTCATAGTTTTAACTGAAGTATAGAAAACAACATTAGAGAAAAATGGGTAAAACTGTGGTTCATAAAGCCTAGTTTATCTGCAAGTAGACACACAGAAGCTCAAGTCTATAAATAAACAAGATACATTTGCACTCAGTGGTTATTTACACAATAAACTTAAAGGATCTCGTTTAAGCTTCTTCCTTCCCAACCCTGGTTAAGAAAAGTAATCATTATTTACCTTTATCAGGATGATTCAAAATCATGATTCTTCTATGGGCTGTTCTGATTTTGGCCTTGTCAGCAGATGGACTGCAAAAATAAATTGAAGTGCTTACCATAAATGTCACTGAGCTCAGGCTATAAATTAACAGTTTATACTGGCTGAAAAATAATTAAAACTTGAGATTTTCACCATCTTGTGGACAAAACATAAAACTGCACCTCTAAAGAAGTAAACAAAGGCATGTAAGACACACTAGGAAGGACATTTTTTCAAAAGCCTGCATGCTTGACACACAAGTATCTTTCAGGCTTTTTAAGAAAATTATTTAAAATAAATGATTTTAAAAAAGGGAAAAGTCCAACAGCTCTAGGGTGTATCTAGTTTATTATTCTCATCATTAAACACAGAAAACACTTCTTTTTCCTTGTAGAAAATAAATATTTTTATGATCAGAGACAAAACAACAAATATTTAGTATTAGCACATTTTGTTCTACTGTAAATATTTTTATAGCCACTAGAAGTAATTCTTCTTTCTGCAGGAGCCTGGGAAAAAAAAAAAAAAAACAAAACAAAAAACCCAAACCAAAACCAAAGCTGTATGTTATTTTTGCAAAGCTGTTCAGTGTGTTATGTTCAAGGACATGCTGATTTACAAGTGCTACAGGATGTTGTTTTCTTCAATAACAGATACATAAAATATGTACTTGGCTTAAACGAAATATGTACCTTACCAGACAAATAATCACTTACGGATGCAGTAGGCCAACACAGTATGGCTATCATATGCAAAAAGACAGTTTGAATGGTTTAGTTTTTCATAATTTGTTAGCATGAAGAAATGAAGCTGTGTTTTCCACTTCAGGTGACTTCTTAATCAGTGATGAAATCAATTAATTAATCTTTTTGTAGGTACAGTCTGAATGCGAGGTATCAGTCTAACTAAATTCCTGAGGTAAACAACCTTTAATTATTATTCCATCACAGGGAAATTAGGGTATGTTGCAAAAATAGTTCACAGAACTGCATAAGAAAAGAGTACTTCAATGGAACAGAAAGTAACCCAGAAAGTAAGATTTAAACAGAGGGTGGAAGGCCTTGAACTATATAAATACCAGAATGAAACTTTCTGTTATTGGACAGCTAAAAATAACAATCATCTATATTTTGATTTTTAAAGCTGTTGTTTAGCAATAAAAAGGAAAGTCAATACACCACATTTAGAAACTCAGATGGCCAAAGAGTAACTGCGGAAATGTTGCAGTTGCATACCACGGAAAAACATGCAGCTCTGCTTCAACTACAAAATTAGGTAGTTTAAATCAAATTTGTTTAGTTTCTGAGATATAGTTTATCCCAGTCAGACTGGTTTCTAAAGATTCTTCATCACTATCAAAAACCCCTTTAATTTGAAAAATCACATTTTTGTTGAACTGGTACAGCCTGACAACCTGAGTCTCACCAACCAGCCAAATCACGGCGCCTTCCAACATCACTAACTGGCTGAGAAGTCCATCACCTTGGTGGGAATTATCAATACTTGGAGAGCATGGCTGACATTCAGGAGGACCTGGACAGGCTGCCAGAATGGGATTACAGGAACCCTTCAACAAGGACAGATGCAGAGCCCAGTGTCTGGGAAGGAAGAACCCTTTGCAGTGCTACAGGCTGGGGACTAGCTCTGTTGGAAACACAGCAAAACAAAAAGCCTCAGCAGCTTACCTTGGCTGCAGAGAAGGACAATGACCTCCTGAGCTGGGTGAAGGGGCACATGGTCACTAGGTCAACAGCAACAGCTGTTCTCTATTTAGCCAGACACATCTAGCTGCTGTCTCCAGGTTTGGGGCCTCTGTACAGGAAAGACACTGGCCAACCACAGCAGGTCCAAGCAAAGGCCACCACAATAGTTGGGGGCAGGAGCACTCACCCTTCGAGGAGAGGGCGAGGGAGCAGGGCTTGTTCAGCCTGGACAAGAGAGGGCTGCTGGGGGACCTCACAACAGCCTCCTCAGCATCTACGGGAAGGAACGTGTAATGGGCTGGTATGTTGAAAATCTAAAAGCTACCATCAAATGCTCACCTTTACCATGGCTTGTATTTAGCATTTATACTACCCACGCATACTCAGCACTTGAAATACTGAAGAAAGTCTTTACCTCAAAATTTAGTATGATTTGTAAGCTGTGACACAGAGGACAAGCGTTACAATAAGATCAGGGCCTGAACAGATGCAGTTTGTGCATACCCTGGCATTTTCCATAACACTTATATACCCCCCTTTTTTGGGGGGGTATATAATATATATATCATACAGTAAGCAGTGAGTTAAATCTGGTCTAGAAAAGTGTGTTTAAACAATGTCAAAATTTCCTATAAAAATGTTAGCTGGGCTTCTATACATTTCAAAGCTCAAACCTTTAAATATTAAGAAGAACTTTCCTCAAATCTGATTAAGTCTTAACACATGCAAGACTCAGTCTAAACACAACAAGCAGCATCAGTGCTCCTGGTGAAGACTCAAGCTATTAAAACTAAAAGGGGACTGATTTCAGTTGTGACGAAACTTCAGACACATCCATGAGCACTGTTCAGGCTATGCATTGCCACTGTAAACACACTTTAATAAGCTGCCATGTGCTACTGTGAAGTATCATTGAATGTGCCCTTACAAAGTGGTAGCATTAATACATTATCGAACTTAAAGGCCAAATGAAATATTTCTGAAGAGCATTCCCATAAATCTCTTCTTCATTGTGCAAGCATGAAATATTTCAAATAGATGCAATTTATTTTCTAAAGCGAACACTAAATGTATATAATTTCCATTATATTAGAAGTAAACACAAATAACACACTGAACAGGATTTTAAGTCCCAGTTTTCTCCATCTGAAATAATTTCTTCCAGGGATAATTAAAACCATCCCTTTTTTTTTATTTTTTTATTCAGAACTCACTGATCTAGACCATAAAGGAGAAATCTACTACCTAAGGTTAGATCTGCTCCCTCATCTGGAAAGTCCTCAAACCCACCACATCACCTGCTTTACAGAAAACACCAAGACATGTGCTACCATGTGCCACCCAAATGTTTTTTAAAAATCCACTGAAAAATTCATTGACTACTCAGAAATTATTTCCACATAAAATGGAAATTATTTACCATACCTACTTTAAATGACAAGTCTCTCCAAGTTGGGGTTTTTGATGGGTTGTTTTGTTTGGGGTGTTTTTTGTTTGTTTGCAATATGCCTCAACCTTTTAAATCCAAACAAATCAGAGTGGAGAAAGAAAAAAAATGTTACTGACTTATGAAAAAAACAAGCGAAATTGATTTATTCTCATTTATTAATATAATCTTCAATATTCCTTGTCTCACAGGTTTTTTTGGAGACCAGGCCACGTGATTACACTAATTAGCACAGTATGTGCTATTCTGATTACTTCTAGAGCACTAATTCTCCAATGCAGTATGTCACCATGCCTTCAAGCCAAACACAAGTTGCATGTTTTATGAGCATTTTATTGTTTGCTTTTTAGCTTAAGCAGAATATTAGAATGTTTTATAAGCCACTAGATGTCTTTTTTAAAAAGTTAAGATTTTGGCAAGAGCACTGCACATTCTCACAACATGCATTTTTTTCATTCAATACATACCAGACAAAAACATCTTAAAGCAACACACCTACCTTACACCTAAAATAAGACTAGCTTCTCGCCTACTCATTTTCTGTTCAAATCCTCCTTTATAGTATGATGAAAGACTCTAAAAAGGAGAAAGGGAAAATAACCAATAATTAGCTTCATGTACAAGGTGCCAGGACCTAAATCATATTTATATAACCTCATTCAGAAAATTGCATTCATCTATAATTTATTTTAAAGGCATGGAATGACTACAAACCAGGTAATCTGAAAGGATTTCTCCTGAGTGTTAACACATATGAAAAAACAACTTAAAAATAACTATCTGTGTTTTTACAATCTTCTACTGCCAATAAGGGATATTAATAGATACAACCGTTAAAAATCCTGTCTCTCAGCAAAAGGGTCCAGAATCAGAGTACAAACTGGCACAGAGTGGTACAGTGTATGTCTTGGAGAGGGCAAGAAAGGGAAAGGGGGAAACTTATTTGGAACAGCTTTGGTACCACTGCAGTAGAAAATTACAAAAGTCAAAATACTTTGGCATCCAAGGAATTATGGACAACCACTCTGAAGTCCAGATATTTCTACAAAGTAGGTAAAATCAATAAAAGAGTAAGAGCAGATAACTTTTCATGGGAAAGAATGTTACTTCAAAAAAATATCTATCGTGAGTTCTTTGAAGGAACCCTGAAAAATATACAAAGAGCAAAAAGAGAAAAAAGAAAAAAAAGTAAAAGCAAAAAGGCTTAGCATAAAGTTACAACATCTATTTCAGGAAAGCTGGAGAACAGTGGAAAGTGTCAGAGTACATGGAGAAATCCTAACCAACTTTTGCCTTTACAGCCTTCCCTGGACACCACTGACTGATGACAGTTAGATAGAGGATCTGGAGAGAGAGAGGTTTTTTCTAAACTCATTGGCATGAGATACTTTAGCCACTGTTTTAAGAAGGGGACAGAAAAGAACATTAAAAAGGAGGAGATGGAGGTAAGAGTAAATTTCAGTATGTAAATGTTAGAGGGAATGGTTTAGAAGTATATTTGCCAATTTTTTTTTTTAATTTAAAATGTAAAAGATACTGAACCCCGACTGATAGTTACATGTGATGTCTTCAGTGTAAAGGTTTCTATAAGTAGAACTAAGAACTAGACCATTGCTACAAAAACAATAGTCTTACACTGCACAAATCCCAGAGGCAGCAGATGTAGCTCCAAGCCAGCCTGCCTTTTGGAACTGGCACACAGAAATCACTCAACAGACTGGAGGTTTTTCCTCAGTGCAAAACCTATCAACTGGGGAAAAATAAGCTTCCTTTGTTGCTATCAAAGGGAAGTCTGGCCCAAGAGCTAAGATTATTTTTAAGTGTTCCTTTTACCCACAAGTAAAAATGTGCCTGGCCCTTATTAAACACCTTTCTCACCCAATACAGTCATTCATGTTCAGCGAGAATTTTGCCTTATGTTTACTCAAACTCTTTTTTACATAATTTCAAAAGCATTAAAGCATTTAAAGGGCTTTGTCTACGATATGAAGCAAAGCCTCTCATTAAGCTTGAAGCAACATTCACCAAAAGCATGGTCCAGAAATACTTCACCTGTTGCTACCATGAAGTCATACAGAGCACACACATAGATTTTCTGTTGCGCTGTTATGATTTGAAAACAATTTTATCTTCCTTCTTCCCACCCCAAACCTTACACGAAATAAGCGCTACTATAACACTACAGGTATCAAAGCTGAAGTAACTGTGGATGTGTCACACCTACAACAAAAGCCTGTTGAGAAACCACTTCTATAGCTACAGCGTAACACAACAGAGGTCTGCAATAGTTAGTGCACATTGACTTTACAGGTTAGAGTATATAACTCTGAAGGAATACACAGGGCTTCTCCAGTCCTCCAAGAGGAAACGATGCTAATAATTTAATGGTCACCAGGTAACACTCTTGAGGAGGCTGAACTGCACAGAAATTTGCAGTGATACTGAACAGTTACTACAGCCAGGAGAGAAAAAACACACTTTAATGGCTTCTGAAAGATTTTCCAGGACTTCTCCCAGAGCAGCTTAGGTGCAGATGGATTTCTGGAAAGGTTAATTATTCTTTGCCCGTCACCTCTGGCATACAACTCTTACACACAAGGATACTGGTTCAGTATCCATGTAAAGACCAGTACTTGAATTATCCCTAACAAAGCTCATCTCTGCTCTTGGCAGATTTCATCTAAAACACTATTCAAAATAAGAAAATAGGGAGAGGTGGCTATAGGCTTACATTCAGAAATACTTCGTGTTTTTAAAGCCTACGTCCTTGACACTGTTCTAACCCTGGGGGAGCCTTGATGCAGCTCACATCCAAGAGGAATGAAAAAAAAAAAAAAAAGAAAAAGGAAATTCTGCTGTCTGTGTCCTTTGGCACATCAGCAAAACCAGTTCATTGAATCGGTCATCACGAAAAAGCATTTTCTTCTCAGACGTGAAGCATGTAGCAAGAATAATCAATTCTTAAATTAAGGTCTTGCTCCTAAACAGAATTTAAAGCAAAAGGAAATTAGATACAAAAGCCATTTTTCCTGTTGCTTAGAATAAAGGGAAGAAAGCGAGTCTTCATTTTAGGAAACATCTCAGCAAATTTCTAGTTCCCTAATGAAACAACTTTTGCATGCTACTGAAATTAAAGCTTTTCTCCCCTGCTCTCCCAGTTGTAAATTCTGAGTAATGGCTGCAATGAAATGAAACAATACTCAAGGTATTTTTCTATTACAAGAAGTCCTCAATGAGCAGGCAGTTCTAGACACTTGATTATTTATTAACCCCAGCTATTGCAAACAAATTCTGTGCTGGAAAAATCATTGAAATAAGCTCTATTTCTTCATACTATTTGAAGTCAGGGGCTATAATTTAATTTTTTTAATTTCTTTGCATGTTGTTACTGTTCAGGTACTTATATAAAGCAAGCTCTGCTTTCTAAGCAAATGCTGTTGGTAGGGGGGACATGGACATAGCGAGACATGACACAAAACAGCTGGACTTGCTCTGCAAATAACTATTCACTCTTGCCAATTTTCACAAAAGCAGTCAGCTAAGAATCCATTTGGACTGTGACATCTTCAAGACACTTTTCCTGGCATAGTGCAGGGAAAGCATAATCTCCATTTCCATGCCAAGCAAGAGACGCAAAATTCCGTAATTCAGACCATCTATCACAGCCCATGAAGTGGTAAATTTTTCCAAAACCTTTGCTTTGTTCCACTACCAATACAGTCCTCTATTGGAAAAGTAACAAACATTGGGAAAAAGCAAACAAACAAACAAACACACAACAAAAAAAAAAACAAACAACCAAAACAACCCCAACCAAACCCCATCAAACTACAATAACAAACTATTAAAGCTGCATTAAAATATAATCTACAATTTGCTAAGATCAATTTTAGCATCCTTAACTTCAGTTAGAAAATAAAATATATGAAACAAACTGCAATTACATTATTCTCTCAAAACTTTATTTTCAATGAAGGACAAGGGAGATGATTGTTACCTTTTCCTCTCAATTCAGAATTCTATGAGTTCGAGCAGAATCGGATCCAACAAGGGAAACAGTGCAAAAAACCTCTAACGTACTATAGAAGATACCCTTTTCCTCTGGAACACAGAATTTTCAGGACTGTGGGGTTTGTGTATTTTTGCCTAGAACTGCTGGTTCTACCTTCAGTATCTTCTATCTCTCAACATACAATATCATTGATTCAACAAAGAAATGTAATGAATGCTTTTGAAATACTTTTTTAATTTCATATTTTAAGGAAATACTAACATTCTAATTAACAGCATTAAGGTCTGAGGAAGAAAAGCTAAATGACTGCTTACTGCTACACACCTTCTATTGGCAACAGACTCTTGTCATTACACACAGAAACAGAACAACGTCACTGGCATTTGTGATACCAGCAACAAAATTAGGCTAAAACCAGAAAGAAAAAAAAAAATATTTCTCTGGAAACAAGCATTATGATTTGACATAGAGGGGAACTGACAATGTTTCCTCTTATATCTTTCTCCACTGAAAAGGAGATAGTAGAAAAATTAGGGACTAAATCACAGTAGCATTTACATTTCATATTTAGAATATATATTTAACTGCCATAAATTAGAGGTAGAAATTCAGAACAAAACGTAACACTTTTAGTTGCTTTTACTTACTATTTCTGAATAAAAGATGAGTGCAGTTGCTGAATGTACACATTATTTATTTAGGTAAGTAAATACAAAGTGTAAAATACTCAAAATACAACAAGCAGGCATTTTAAATGATGGCTTCGTAATTGCTCAACTTGACCTTACCCAAGTAATTTCTTAGTGAGCAAGAAGAAAGGATAAACAGCATTTGGATTACCTTGCATGGTGACTGCAACCAACATGAACTGTGATTTCTATTGCAAATGGAAGATGAGAATGGGGTGAGGAGGAGTGGTGGCTTACAGAGAGAACAAGCCAAATAGGCAGCTGCTTCACAGCCTCTCAAAAGACAGTTGTGATGAAGGACAGGGTTTGATTCTAGAAAGCTAGAGTAACAACTGAAAATTACCACAATGACTAAGTTAGGCACCCCCAAACACCACAGAAAACCAGCAAAGTAACACTAAGCATAGACGCTATGTGACACATAGTCACATCAGAGGCTTTATCCAGTAAGCATAGGTAGATGCTCGATTTCCTTTGTCAGTAGAGTTTAGAGGGCAATATGCTGTAAAGAAACGTGATGAAAGTGCTAATTCACAGATCATATTCAGCAGCTTCAAATTCCCCAAACAAAATCACATAAGGCAGCTAACGCAAGAAGTTTTCACAGTAAGCACTTACATGGGATCTTTGTACACAATGTTTTTACTTTTTTAGAGAAAAAGTTATAAATAGGAAATAACTGATTGTTAAGGGGAGGAAAAAAGGTAGAAAAAAAATTCAAAAAAATAGTAGCTGTAGAGTAGTAAAGAACAAATAACCTTGGCTAAGAATTATACAAGGGTCTTAACTTTGCACTATGATTGTAGAAGAAAATACTATTACCTTCACAAATGTAAAACTGACAAATACATACAGTTAATGACAACCAGGAAGAGACAGCTTTCACTTTATTCAGTCAATCTCATCTTGCACTGTAAACTTGTATTTTCAAGTTCAGAATAGAATAGCAGACAAGAGATACTCTACTGGAAATCAACACACGTTCTGGGCTGTAAGGCAGGATGTGAAGGCAGACAGAGGATGCAGCTCCAGGGACTAGGAATACTGTGAATGCAAAAGCACATGGCTTGCTCTTTATGGTTTTTCATGAATTCTGCAAGACTCTCAAAGTCATTGCGGTAAAAATGAGATAGGCCTGTAATGAGCTTGGCTTAGCCAGTATACCAGTACTGGGGGGTACAATTTCCTAGGAACAGACAACTCTCTGTGCAGTAGCATGTCATATTTCAATGTGTTAAAGAGTCACTGCCTGCTTTCTTACATGAAGATGTCTGAATTTAAATTCTCTAGCCTGTATCTACAAATGTATAGAAGAAATGCTGAAGTAAAACTGCTGGGGTGGGAGGGTGAAGATAGAAGCACTCCCTACTTTGAAACCACATGTCCTTACTGCAAGCTACCTCTAGCAAGCATGCAAGTCAGACTGTTTCCATATCATGTGAAAGCAATTTAATTCAGAGTATCTAAAATCCCCTCTGCTGTTCTGGCAGGCAACTTGGGAATCTCTCAAAAAATTACTTTGAAAAAAAAAAACAGTTGGCCTCACAACAGCAATGCAACAGAGGGACAGCGGGCAAAGACTGATTGAGGAGCACCATTTCTGGCTGATACATACTGCAATTAAGAACAAGCGTGGATCAACCCCCAGAGGACAGCCCATGTTTAGTCTTCTCCCTCCCCAGGAAAGGACACACAAAGTACAGACGGCAAATGTATTTGGACTCAAGCATCTCTCTATATAATGTAGACAATGTTGCAACTGGCCTCGTGTTAATAGGTACAATGCAAATGTTTACTTTAAAAACAAACAAACTAACCACCTACCTTTAATATCTTTTTCAGGAAATAATAATCTACTACTCCCTCAACACTCTCATAGAGGAATTGTATTCCTTCCACTGTGGAAAAGCGCTCACAGAGCATGAACTCTGAAGGAATATACTTCTACAATCAAACATCTACCTCACTAGGAATTACTTTAATCAAACAGGAATTGAATGCATTTATTTATTTACCAGAGGACAGCATAGCCACTGAAGAAAAAAGTAAATGCTCTTGAATATTCCATGCATATGCTCCTCTCACAACACCCCATCTCTTATTTTTTTACCTCATTATCACATTTTTAAATATACAGGGCAAAACAAAGAGCAAAAAATTGGTTAAAAGTTCAAATCAGACAGGGAATTAAAAAAGACAACTTATATGTGAACAAGAAAACAATATCTCTATGCCCATCTCTATGGCAACCTTTCTTAGAAGTTTATCAATTTGCCTTATTGACTTTAACACTGTATCTGGGAAAGAAAAAAAAAGGAAAAAAAGACTAACTTCTTACATTTTTAGCTTCTTGAAATGAAACTGCGTGTCATCACTTTGTAATCTCTAGGAATTAGCTATTTTCTCACAGCAGCCTTTAACCATTTATCACACACTTATTAGCAAACAGTTCTCAAACATGGAGCATCACCAGGAAATTCTGTTTATCAAGCTCACAAACATCTTTTGATATAGCTACATCCACATGAATTTAAAAACATGCCAGATAATATGCCAGAACATGCACAGTAAAGAGCACCCCTATCCTGGAAAACAGGATAATCAAAGTGGCACTTGCTGTATGTAACATAAAATGTCTCCTCTCTAAATACTTGAAACAAAATCATTAATTCAGCATAAAGTAACCGCTAAACTTACAGAAGTTGAAATCCTCTTTGCTGTCTCTGTAATTGCCTGTTCCAACGGCTTCCAAAGCTGGAAAGCATAACGACCTGAAAAAGATTGAAGTTAAATGAAATTATAACCAACATTCACTAAAAGGAGAAAAAAAGTCTCCAACTTACGTTCATCAGCATAAAGCAGAAAGAATTTTGGTTTCTAAAAAATATAAAATAAAATAAAATAAATAAAATAAAATAAAACCCCTTCCTTTTTAATCTTTTTGTCTCATTTATTTGTAGTACAGCCCCACTGCACTTTACTGCTTTTCAAGATGTTCCCTCAACAGCCATTTTTGGATCCTGCCCAGAAGTCATCCCACAGTAAACTTGCTATGGTTTACATTTTTCAATCTTTGTACTCTTTGGGAAGGGAACGGAAGAAGCTCAGTATACTTCACCTAAAAAACTAGTCAGGGATTGCAAAGATCCATTGTGTTTGCTCACAAAACAGATTTAAATGCATTTCAATACAATAAATGAAGAGATATGCCTTGTGAACCTCAAGAAAAAGGGCAGTATGAAACATTAGCTTTGGATATATATTATTTATTAAATACTGTTCAAAGGTTATGTTTTCAAGAAAAGAAATCTATGTACTACATGCTTCTTGCTGTGATGTTGCATGCTTAATCACACATTTTGTAAGTACTGCATTTTTTATTTTGCTACAAAGAGAGGATCTTCTGGGATTCAGAGCCATTCAACTCCCCACTGGTAGTGAATATCTACAGCTAGGAAAGGCTAGAGTAAACTATATTAGACTGTTTTCTCAGAAGTACAAAGCAGGTCTATCAATTTCAGAATCAAGATTTGTGCCATGTTACTTGAGAATTTTCTCTCTACACTCCCTCTTCCCAATTGTTGTTTTCATTAACTGTTCATTAGCAATGTAACTTATTGTTATACACAATGGAAAAACTTTTTATAAAACTGTGGCTGTTTCATTCAGATAGCACCCTGCTTTCTTAAAATACCATAAATTTTTAAGAATAAATTCTTAAAATAACCATAGGTTATTTTAGCTATCTAAACCCATGTTTATGTTAACACAGAAGCTAAAGCCACTATTAGAGCATCACTGCTGAAATGCTGTGATCTATTTGTGATCTACTTGTGATCTCACCTTCTTCATGCTTTCTGCCACCACTTCTCTGCTAGCTGCCATTAATTTTTCAGCTCACCTAGCGGAAATTCTAAAAAGCATTCCTCTTTTGCTTCTACACAAACACATATATAAACCAACTGCTTAAAGGCATACATTACCAAAGATCTTGGCTTTCATTCCCCTAATCATTGTACCCAGAAAACAGCCACTGAACTTTGGTGCAACTTGTTCATCTTTTGAGTAAGTTCTTGGTGTATGCGTTTGTACACAGCTGACCTTGGCTGCTTTTATATACTGAAAATTATGGAAATTGGTTTGTGTATTTGAAAACCAAAACAGACCACAGTCATCCAGTCTAAGTAACCCAAAGTATTACTCATGTTAAGTTCAACAGCTGTATTCAGACTAGAACCTATTTTTCAGAATAACATACAGTCCAGATGCAAAGAGTTCAGGTAACAAACAATGTACTATGGGAACAGTTTAATGTGATAAATCACTGCAGCCACCTAAACCTTCTATTTTTCTCTTTTTGAATTTGTTAGGTGTTACCTTTACATCACAAGATCCTGCTGCAGTCTATACTACAGAGCATCCACCTTGCAATATGTTATTAAATAAACAAAGTAAACTTTTCACATTACATCTTGCAGGCAAAAAGCAGATGGAACCTTTTAGCTGCCGTCCATAAAATTAGTTTCAAACTGTGACTTTTCAAAAAAGAATTTTGGAAAGCATGTCCAGGATTTTGGAGGGATGGGAACTATACCTGGACACAGTTCTCCATAGCACGCTCAAACAGTCTATTTTTCCAATTTTTATATTTATAAAAGCTTCATTAACCTTTTGGAAATAGCAGCTCACAAGTGACAGTTCCACACTCAGCTGGTAATTTAGCTTACCTGCAAATGCAACAGTTGCAACACCAAGTCCAACAGCTATCATTGTTCTGGCCTAAAGCAGAGAAACAGGAATCAGAATAACAGGCAAATTCTAATTTGAAATACAGGCACCTTTTATTTTATCAGCAAGTATTTCTGATGTCTGACATTTACAAGAAAGATAAAAGTAAGTTCTGTATTCCACAGGCTACATTAGATTTTTAGAGTTCAGCTCCATTAGCCCCTGCCAGCACATCAGGTTTAGCCAGGAACTACCCATTAGCAAATCTGTAAAACACTGACAAAGCAGTTCACATCATGTACTGATAAAAAAAAAAAGGCAAACAACTATTCAGGATCACCTGAAATTAGTCGTGCCAAATGATTCAACACAAAGATTATCAGTTTATTACACAAATATGAAGAGCTTAAAAAATATATATTGTTGCGCAAAGTCCTTCACTGGGAATTTCATCATGATATAGCTTGAAAATTATATTGGAATATTAACTTAACCTCTATGTCCACAAACATACATTAGCATCTTCCATTGTTCATGCTTTGACTTGTGGAAGCCCCAGTAGAGAAATGAAGCACAGAAACCTCTTTTCATTACTTCACATCAATCACTGGACTCTACCTTATAGATTCACTTTTAGTCTAACTGGGGTTTTGGAACCAAAACCACAAGAGAAAAAAAAAAGGACAAAAAGAAAGGAAAGGAGAGAAAAAAAAAAAAGAAAAAAAGACTTAAAACATCTGATGCAGACAACAGTCACATACACAGTGATTGAAAAAAGCCAGCACCTCAAGGACAATAAGTATCATCTCCATGTCAAACAAGAAGCTGCTGAAAGCTATGTAGTAAACCCTGAAGAATGTACTGACTTTTCACACACCTGCAGAAATCAAGAAGGATGATGAGCACTGCAAGTGTTGGGGGCATCTCTCCACTTCCAAAAAGGCAAGATGTAATCTCCAAAACAGATTAAATAGTCATCTGTGGCACTACCTGTCTTATCATATAATAGTTCAATAATGCCTTGAACTTTCCCCCAGGAAACACAAGGAATCAAATTCTGCCTGTTTAGCTTGAATTCAAAATATAACAATGAAAATGCTTTTATCACCAGACCGTCTCTTCTAAACATGACTTGCTTCTGTATTTATCCAGTAACTGGTTTACACTTTTTCTACCAACAAGCCTGACACCAGGACTTAAAAGTCCAAATTTCAACACGAGTCCCCTAATAACTGAATTTGGAGCCAAGTTGCCTTTGCTACTAAGCCTCCTGGGGCTAAAATTCTGCCTTTTGATAGTACCCAATCTCAATTCTAGACTGTAAAGAAATAAAGGAAATTAGTCACTTAGTGTAACTTACTTAGCACTAGTAGCTAGATGTGCTGAAGCCTCAGGCCACAAGCTGTGAATTTTCCCACAGATATGCTGAGCTTTTTACCTGCTTAAGTAAAAGGAAGCCCCAGAGCCAGTGTATGATAAGGAAACAAGGAAGGACACTACCCCTTGTCAGCAGAACCTGCAAACTCAGGAAGAGAAACAGCCTGCCTAAAGACAGTGAAGGGACCTAACTGAGAACAAGTCAACTCCAAACTCTAATATTATTATCGTACCAAACTGTTGCATGAGGGGTGGGAAACTTAAATTGTAAGGGTACAACTGCTTGAGGATATCTTTGTTTGAGGGCCCTCTCTGGAGGTAACCAGCTTGAGCTGCTTTTACCACTGCACCAACTCAAATAAATGATTGTATTTAGAGCCTAAGATTTTGTTACAGGATACCTAGGGTAGAGAAGCACTGTTAACACAGAGGGGGAGTAGGGGAAAGAGTTGGGAAATATCAGTTTTAAAGCCTCCTAGACCTGTCTTAACCATGGTCTAGAACACAGGTCAACAACTTTCCCAGCAAAAGGGCAGCTGTACAAGATGTAGGCACTGCCATCACGCCGAGTAGCTCCTACAGATTTGGCTGCAAAGGCAAGTGGTTGCTATTGCTGCTTGTAGTACTGAGCTCAGAACAGAGAGAGGGATAGTCTGCTCTGAGCTCATCTAGAAGAGGATGCATTCCTCTCTATCTAGCTTCTGAACCCTATGCATTTTAACTAAGTACTTACCTCCTGCTTACCCAGTTGGGGCTATTCTAGCTATTCACATAACACAATGCTGCAATTGCCTAGAGGTTTCTCATAGAATAGAAGAGACTTAATAAACATACTTAAAGTGAAGCTCCAAAGTTAAGACTCGGGGAGTTTTGGCCTTAAAAATCTACTCATTTCAGTAGTGTAACTCTTCCATTTCAGTGTAGTCTTCAGTCTCAATACTAGCACTCTTTTCTGAATGCAAAAATAACACAGTAGTTTTATGTCTGTTGTTGAGTTCCACAAAATTTCCCCTTGTCTTTAGACCATGAAAAAATGTTACCTTTAATGGCAGAAGATAAAAAATAGTGAAGCATACCATTCATCTCCACACTAAACTAAAACTCGTCATTTCTTCTCACAAATCGTTTTTTCCCAGGCTCTCAATATTCAACCTTCTAAAAGTCTCTAATTCCTGTTTAGAAAACAACCAATATCAGCCACATCATTCCTGAAAATATCATAACCCTACAGAAATTCTATTATTATTCTGTTCTGTGGTTTGTGACTGTGGATTTATATTGAAGAGACTCCTTGACTGGTTCAGAGTGACAGTGAGAATCTATGTTGTTACAGTCAATTAAGAGCTCAATGTGTTAAACAGATCACGTTGGAAAAAAAAAAAAAAACAACAAAAAAACCAAAACACTAGCTTGTACTTGTCCAACTTAAGTTATACTTGCTTTGCCACCAAAGAGGTGGGTTAAGTTAGCAGTCTGCAATAAGGTATGCTGGTTGCAACTGGGCACTAGCAGCAGACACTTTATCACAGGTAAGGCCAAGCACTGAGACCAGGCTAATAAATAACCCTGGACTCTGTCAGTTCAGTGCAGAAACAGCTTAAGTGTTTTTGCACAGTAGTCTGGGAACACAATATCAAAGGCTCTCAGGGGTCTCTACAGAGTCAGCCATGTCCACTGGACTGCATTATTTCAATCTGCGGAAAGTACTAGCAGTTAGTGGAAAGCTAGGGCTGCCTGAAAAACAGTGGGCAAAAAAAGCACGGCAACAGCTCTAGAATAGGAGCAGGATGTAGGATCACAGGCATATGACAACAAGCCAGAAAACTAGGTAAAAGTGATGGAAAGTTAAAACCAGAGAGGCTCGAATGACTGTCCATATTTTGAAGAGAGGCACAACCACCAAGAAAGCTAAGAAATACTGGTTGACAGTACCTCACCTCGTTTGCATTATGAGCAGGTTACAGAAGAGTTACCTACCACAAAGTAGCAAAGAAGTGATAACTTGTCATACCAAAGCACCCTCAATGTTACAGTGTTAACATTCAAACTATATACATGACATAAAAACTGAATTTCAATCAAGGTAAGAAAGATTGCAGTTTGTCTCTTACTGACCCAGCCACTCTTAACATTAGTGGCAACTTTAAGTACTAACCAGAAAGTCCTTTAAGTCCAGCTTGACTCATTTCCCATGCTCACTTAACTCAGTTCATTATTTAGAAGAGTAAGTCGAGAAGAACGGTGCTTTGAAACGTAGACTATAAAGTTCAAAACTCTTTTCACATCAATATTAAATAAAAGTAACTATCACTGAGGAAGGGATCAGTTCATTTATGGCATGCTAATACAACTACTACAAGAACTATTTTTGGGTCCCACTGTTTAAAAATACCTCTTATTTCAGACTCATAAAAACTAAATATATATATACATACATAAATAAGTAAATAAATACACTTACTGGCTTTCAGTTATGACAGAGCTGCTTTCCCCCCCCCCACTGTAAAAAATGCCATTACAAAATTTCTCAGATACAAGTTTTAAATGAAAGTATTCTGTTAAGACCCAAGAGGGAAAAATAAAGAAATAAAAGATTAAAAAGTAACATCTGTACCTTTCTTTATTCAATGAATCAGCTCCCAAAGGTTAGTCATCAACCCTATGTTATTCTGCTGATTTCAATATTTTAATTTTACTATGCAGTTCACCTTTCAGTAACAAATCCTCTTAGCTACAGAAAACAAATAAGCTTTTGCCAAATCTGCAAAACCTGATTTTTAAAAAAATTCTTTTCAGAAACCTGTGTAAGAAAATACAAACATTAGAAAGGCAGTTGCAAGAGCTGACTTACCAAAGCATCTGGCAAACAAGAGGATAAAGCATATTAATTAACATATATTTCATATACTGTTAGCATACAGACATCTGTGGTCTAATCCTTTAATATCTAATTTTCCAGTAGCCTAAATTTTTTAGAAGAAACAGGCAAGAGTAAGATATTCTTTTTGCACATTCTTAAACCACACTGCTCTGTTAACTTAACCATACTCAAAAATAAGACTTCTGTAATTCTTAGCACTGCAGCTTCTCCTTCTATGAAGCAGAAAAAAAGTTAAACTTATAAACAAAAGGAGAATTGCAAATGCATAATTTTAAAATTTCATCACAACACTTTTACATCTGACTAAGTAAAAGAACAACCTTCAGAAATTTTAAAACATATCTGCTTGCACAGGACTTGGATTTTACACACCAGCTCTTCTACCACAAGCAGTGAAAACACCCTTCTTGGTCAAATGAAAAATATTTTGCTCTTCTCACAACTAGCTTTTAGACACACAGCAAAAGCTCCACAGTCTTTTGCCTCTGAACCTACAGTGCAACAGAATAAAAAGCACAGTGAAAATAACAACTTGTTCTGATGGACTGGATGGCATTTTGTAATTAGTCCATGCTTAATCATGGATCAACAAACTAGGAAGTATGTACTTACATTCAAATAAGTACACAAGTGTAAATTGCTTAACCAAACCCTTCATTTTAAGAAAGTTTGAATAGGTTTACTGACTCCCCCCTCTGCGCCCCCCCCCAAGTGCTGTATTCCACTAAGCAGCAGGATACATAATTTTACTAACCAAGTGTAAAAGATATTTCTGAAACTACATTTTCCCTTATGTAAAAATTCTTGACTTGAAATCCATGATTGTTCGGTACAGAAGCTAGAATAAGGGTCCTATTCCGCATAAGAGTAGGTACAGCTTATTGGAAGACTATTTCAGAGCAAATCACCTAGTTAACTCTATGTGGAGCCAGATACGTTTTGAAGTGGGTCTATATTATAAACTATCTGCAACAGATTTGATTGCATAATTTAATGTTTGCCTTCCTGTCTTACCTTCCTCTGAAACTTAATTTGTTTTTCAACAGTGAACTAAAAGTAATTTCAGTTAGATGCTGTTCTACATATTCACCCAATTCTCATGTCAATTTGAGTCATTTATTTTAATAGCAACTTTTCTGTTTTGTATATAAAGCTATGCCTACAGTTTCTGACAGTTTTTCATAGGAAATGGTACCAAAGCAAAGGATTCACTAATGAAAGCATTACCATACAGCATTCAAACCAATCTTTTTGAGTGTGTATTAACAACGACCTGTCTTTGCGAACACTCTGTGCTCCTACTGTTCTCTTCCATCACTCAAAATGCTTTTGTAAAACAGCTACAAAGGCAGAATAGTCTTCAGCTAACATCCTGGACAACTCACAACCAAGATTCAGGGCATGGTATTGAACACAGCTCTATTACTTCCAAGAGAGGAATGCTGCTGTTATCTCCTACTATTTCCTTCTACTGTGGCAAGGCAGCCTTCTTAACCCTTCAGAACACCGGAGGAACAGATGCACAGCACTACAGTTGATCTTACTATTTCTCTCTGGCTAAATTTTAGAATATTGTTATACACAACTTGATCTCCTTCTGGATTCCTTAGCTGAGAAAGCACTAAGTACAAATACTGTCCTTTCTTCCACTATCTAATGTTATACAAAGAGTTTTTACTACCAACTGTATGCTAACAGTTTACAATGTATATATGCCTGAAAAACACCGCATTCTCCGCTGAAACATCTGGCTAAACAATATATTTCAACAGAAAACTGCAGCAATCCAGATTCTAGTCTCTAAAGACCAATCTGAGTCTCTGGACCTTAGTAAGAACCTGACAAAAAACTCACACCAACAAAGCCACATTAAATCCCAGATGCAATTTTTACCCCAGACAGGTAAGAAGGCCCAAAGACTCCACAAAATTCACCAGGAACTTCCCCTCTAGCATTCCACAGAGGGAGAGTACATGGATATGACAATAATAAGTTTGGGAGTCAGCTTCTTCAGATTACATAGGCTGCTGTTAAATACATGGAAAGATTGACCTGGAGAAAAAGAAGTCCTACACTGTAGTAATAATGGATTAACAACTTAGAGACAACTATGATTTTAAAAATTGTGTTAAAAAGCAAAGTATTCTAGAGACAACAACAGGCACACAATGAAGGCAAATTCATTTTTAAAGCCATTTTAAAAATGTGAAGACTTCACCATTCAGTATGTTAAGCAGTGTTCCACACATATTTTACAAATACCCAATTCTCTTCCAAAGAGAACTTGCTGTCACATGAACTAGCGGAAAGAAGACCAGACAGAAGCAGTGGGATAATGTTCCAGCACCCTTCCCTCTACAGCACACTACCGCATAGGAAACCTTGAAAGCATTTTTGCCTTTCACTCCAGACCCATTCACCCTCTCCCATGCTAAAAAAGATCAGATGGGAATTATTTTTCTGAAACAGAGCTCTACAAAACCATTAACACTTGAACCAGCCACAATAAAACTAGCACAGTATGTGAAAACACCACAGGTATCATTCCTTTGCGGCAAGGGAACACAACTTCAGGCCTTGTGCGCTCACGCCCGAGGCAAGGGGTCCCCACCCCCGACCTTCCTGCCCACCCCGGGGGGCTCGGAACGCCTGCCCGCCGCAGCCCCGGTGCTCACACTCGCTGGGTGTGAAAGCCCTCGGCTAAGAAGCAGCGCTGGGGAGGGTGAAAGTGTCCGAACGCCTCCTGGGTCTGCGGGGGAATCAAAGGGAGGAGCGACCTCCGCCCCGTCTCTGCCGGCAGCGGGGGTGGGGCATGACGAGAAGGAAGATGAATGGCAGAGGTCTTGCCCTCCCCTCTCCTCTCCTCAGCCGCCACTCGCGGGATGGCTTGCCCCTCTCCCAACCCCCCCGCCGCACTCACCAGCCCTCGGTCCAGCTCGGCTTGTCCCTTGCCGGCACCCGCAGGGACTCTGGCGTATTCGGCATAGCGCAGAGCCTCGGAGGAGGCCGCGGCTCCTTCCATGATGGAGGGGGAACAGGAGAAAGCGCTACAGGTCGGCTGGAGGGACAAACCAGTTAGAAGGACGGGCTGCGAAGCTCCCTCCTCCCCTTGCCAATCTTCCGCGCGAGGGGCGGGGCCAGCGCTGTCGTCTCAGACAAGCCCCGCCCCGGCGCCCGGGTACGGGGGTGGTGTGCGCAGGGGACAGGGTCTGCCCGGCGGTTAAGAGCTTGGCTCTTTTCGGGGGGCTTTTCTCACCTAGAGGCTTAACGCAGGGTGAGGGACTGGTGTCGGTGTCTCCCTTATTTGCCCTCCTGAGCGGTTTGAAAGATAGGGACCGACTTTTTAGCAGGACCTGTTGTGATAGAACGAGAGGAGACGCTTTTAAACTGAAAGAGAAGAGATTCAGGCTGGATGAGAGTAAGACTATTCTTTACAACGAGGATGGTAAAACACTGGCTCAGGTTTACCAGAGAGGTGGTGGATGCACCATCCCTGGAGACACTCAAGGCCAGGATGGATGTGGTTCTGGGCAACCTGAAGATGTCCCTGCTCTTTGAAAGGGAGTTGGAACTAGATGACCTTTGAAGGGCCCTTCCAACCCAAACAATTCTATAACTCTGTGATTTCCTGCAAATGCTGACAAATAGGATCATAGTTCACCCTTTGGAAGATCTTCAAGCAGTAACTCATAAGCAGATGCTGTCAATCACCATTAGTCCTGTATCACAAAATGTAAAATGATGAATCTCATTTCTGTACAGCAGCGTAGCAGCTCATCTCTTGCCCTTATGCTGATTTTCCTGCTGTCCTGTCTCGTAGTGCTGGCAATGGAACTGAATTATCCACAGATTGCTAAGTGGTGTGACTCAACAAAGAGAATTACTCTCCTCATCTCCTATTTCAAACATTAATTGCTCTGCTGAGGCATCTTTCTGAGCACACGTCATGGTATCGTATATCTGATTGATACTCATCAGTCCTACAACACCAAAAGGCAACTGCTTTCGCTCTAAAGTATCTTTTTAAAGTACAGCTGCTATTAACTATAAAGGTGAGTTGACCATAAAGAGCATTTCATCCATCTTAGACATATGCATAAATTTAACTTTCTATAACACAGAAGTCATTGGAAGTTGTATAATGATTCACTTGGGAAGAAATGCATTCCTTTTTACTCTCTCATTCAACATATAACATACAATCATATATGATTAATTTTTTAAACCTTCAGAAAAATTGAATTTCTTGTAAACTTGAAACGTATTTTAAAATCAATAAAAATGTCCCCGAGTAATCATTTTTTTTCATTGATTTGCATAGAAGTAATGTATGTCAACTTACCACTTTTTAGATTAAGAAACCCAGTTTGAAAAATAATAAATTACAAGTATTAGAATTTATTTTTTCCCTTAATTTTCCTATTCTGCATTTTATTGCAAGTTGTTTGAAAAAATCCAGGCCTCTCCTGATGATATAATGCTCTTTGTTAAAAGATAATCAGCTATAAGAAAAGTACCTATACATAGAAATAGCACTTTTGAGTTCGATGGGACAGCAAAGTGAATGAGAGTTACCGTTTTTAGCCACCAGTGTTTGGCCAGGCAATTAGGAAGTACACGTGTGGTTCTAAACAAGAATTGCTGCATTGCTTTGAAAAACTTAAAAGACTCAGTGGAAAAAACTCAGCAGAACATCAACAGCAATGAATTTTAACAATGCTTTGCAGTTCTGGACAACCAAACCCCAGAGTAGTCCAGAATAGTTTCTCTAATACCCAGGTATACAACCATAATTTACAAAATCTGGCTAAGTGGTGCCACATAAAATCTATGTGAAATACAGGAGGGTGAGGAATCCCAAATGTTTTGTTGTCTGTTGTGGTTTAAACCCTAGCCAGACAGCTTGTTCAGTCACTCCCAGTGAGTGGTGAAGGGCTGGAAGCAATCGAGGTGCCTCCCCCCCCGCCACCCGGGGTTCTCCCCTTCCCCGCTCCCGGAGGGATGGGGAGGAGGATCGAAAGACTGCAACTCCCACGGGTTGAGACAAGAACAGTCCAGCAACCAATGTACAACACAAATCACCACCGTTACTACCAACGACAACAATGATAAGAGAAAATGACCAGGGAAGAGAATACAATACCACCAGCCAAGAAGCGAGTCCCACCCAGAAGCCCGTGTCCTTCCGGGTAACTCCCAGTTACCCCCCTCCCCCTCCGGGCATGATGTGCTGTGGTATGGAATACCTCTTTGGCTAACCTGGGTCAGGCGTCCTGTCTCTGCTTCCTCCCGGCTTCCCCTCCTCCCTGGCAGAGCATGAGCCTCACAAAGTCCTTGGTCAGGGTAAACATCACTTAGCAACAACTGAAAACATCCGTATCACCAGCACTGTTCCCAGGCTGGAAGTCAAAACAGCGCGCTGCACCAGCTACCAAGAAGGAGAAAAAATTGACTGCTACTGCTAAACCCAGGACACTGTCTTACTGTCAGCTTGCCCACCAGGAATTATTCATTTCGCCACCTTCATTCTCCTTCTTGTACACTCAGGCACTGGATACTTGCCCCAGCTCCCACCTCTTGTACTCTTCCTGAGAGCTTAGTCAAGAGCAGCGTGTTCATCCACACAGGCTTCCCACCACTCTTGTTGGATTTCCTATTGTCAGGATGGACTGTTCTTAAGCTTTAAGGTAGGGAACCTTGAAAATAAGAACAACTCTCTTGGACTTCTCTTCAGTACTGTATCTTATTGGATCCTTTCAAGCTGATCCCCAAGACCCCTGAAAAGGTCAAAGTCTGCTCTCTTTAAGTCTGGGGCTGTGATTCTGTTATTTTGCCCTGATTCTACTGTTTCATGGTCACTGTAGTCAAGTTCTTTCCCATCTGTAAATATCAGATACAGAAGAACACTTCCCCTTGTCAGGTCCTTGATAACCTTTGCAAGGAAGTTATCATCAATGTGCTTGACAAACACCTTATGTCATCGTAAGCGTAGCAAAATTTGGGCTTTAAAAACACTGGGTCAGACTATGGTTGATCCAAATACACGTAGGCAAGCTCTAAAATAGAAAACAGTGCCTTCCTTTTATCACCAGCCATGCTACTGCTACTGTATTTCTGGAAAGTAAGACTCAGGAAGCATATAGATTAAGCAGAGCAAACCAGATAATCAACACAAGGAAAATACATCTTTTGCTAGGAGACCGTAGGTTGTTTCCCCTGGAAACAAGGAGATGGGGAATGAAAGCAGCTGGGTCTTTGGTTATGGTTCCCTCCCAAAATTCTTCTCAGCATGGCACAGCTGTGTGCTACACTATGCACAGGATGGTGCTGGTAAAGACAATCTGTCCATACTATTTCAATTGAATCCTAAACACTGGTATGTTCCAGCATATTGTCACTATTAATGTGTAGCAATGTTGTCCAGATTTGTTATGCCATTTAAGTTAATTGTCTGCATACTTTTTCTGTAAATTACTTTCCTAAACAGTCTGGTGCTACAGTATTCCATGATGCAGTTGGGATCAATGCCGGCAAGAATCTCTCAGGAATGAAGGAGAATCTAGAAACAGAAACCAGATTAAAGCTTGTTAAATTGATAACAAAGAGGGGAGGCCTTTTGGGTTTACTCTTTACCACTGAGAATTTCCAAAGTAAGTGTGGCACATGCCCACTGACATTAAAATGGTAGGGACTAAAGTTTCATGCTGAAGATTAAAGTTTCTGAGGTCAGGCAGAGAAGAGAGCATAATTGAGAGTTATCAAGGAAATCATAAGGCGTATCATATAAAACTGGTAAAGTCAGTACTTGAGCCTTGCTGAATTGTCGTGTGCATACAAATGAATAAAGAATAAATCTTCCCAGCCACTGCACCAGAATTAGAGGTTGGAAGAGTTCATTGCTCCTAAAAGCATTTGTACTGTTCTTCCATTACCGCAATATACTATAAAAGCAAAAAGAAGCATGAGCTGTGGACGTCTACTAATTTCTTTAAGTAACATATCCCAAAACATTTAACAATAAAAAATGTAATGTTCTTTATAGATACTGTAATAATTGTCTGTATGACACCTTTGGTTGACTAGGTACCACAGGGTAGTATATTATGCAAAATCTTAAAATGGAACTAATCATGGCCTTCAGGAATTACAAGAGTACAATTATTTCTTGAAGAAGATGGTATATACAGCAAAAGGCTCAGGTATCTTTTGTGAATAAGAGTGTTAAAATAATTTATGCGCCACTGATCTCCTCTGCTTTAAAAACAAATCTCCTCTGCTTTAAAAACTGTTAAGAAAGAGATGTATTCAGGAATTTTACAAATCCTATTTTAATATTGTCAGACTTCTCAAGGACTTTTTCCTTCTGGTCACAATGCTGCAGCTATAGCTGTAAGAGTTTTTTGTTTCTGACAGCATTTGTGTAGTTTACCAGTTAATTTTGTCTTTTCCAATAGGTTTGTGGCAGGCATTTTTAATGGCATGAAATATTCATTTGTATCCCTGATTGGTTGTATAACATCAGACCTTTAAAATAGCCCTGCTCTATTACTTATTATTATTTATGTAGGAATGTAGATATGCATAGCACTCTCCAGGCATAAGAATACTCCTAAAATATAGCAATAATTTTCAGGCACTACTTCAGTACCTCAGTATAGCAAGTTCTGGACATCAGGTCAATTATATTTTCAATTACACTTGCTTTTACTGAAGTAGTATTAGCTAAAGGAGAGGTGGACCTCCTCTAATGCTGAAGGGTACTGCAGAGAAACCAAGGGTCAATTTTCTTTTAGAGACTGGGAGATGATAGTTTTGACAGGGACCATCAATTTCAGCTTTTTGCAACAAAATGGGAAGTGTGTGCAGCATTTTACATCTCCTAAATAGATTACCCAACACAGATACACACATGCACTTGTCAGAGCTAATGGAATTCTTTCTGCTGAGCCTGACAAATTCCAGTCCTAAATCTAAACAAGAATAAATCTTGGCTGAATGCTGACACTTCACCTTCCTTCAGGGACTACCTCTCCAGGGAGCAGAGAAATTTCTCTTCTCTAGCATCCTGAGTTGGAACAATTAGTGCTGCAGGCACTGCAGAGTACACTGTCCTCACAAAAGAGGACTTGCTCCTAACACAACATTTTCTGTGAAGTGCACAAAACCAAAAATGATACTATAGTTTTCATTCATATTCATGTTTTGTGGGTTTTGTCTACAGTGAGCTTGGATAATTTGCTTACCGTAAGTATGTATTTTCAAAGTCAAGCTGAACATTACTTGTCCAGTTAAGGTTTTCTGTTCACAACTAATTGTGCAGCAAGCTATGGTTTTAAGCCAGTAAAACTTTGGTAAAATGAAAGGCATCTTTAAAAACTGAATTTTTAATTTGCCATCATGGTATAAAAAAACTATATGCAGTGCTAGTTACAGGTATGCTTCTAGGTATATTTGCTATCCCTTGTCATTGCCCTAAAATACAGAGAGATGTTCCCAATGATAAATTGCACATGTATGCTCTGTAGTGTATTTAGCTGGGTGTCTTGCATACTTAGCCAAAATATCCAGGGAAAAAACTACCTTGAGCATCATACTCAGCTGCAAGACTACGTATTTTAAGTGACAGCAAAGAAAAAAGCAATTTTCTAGCAGTCAAAGCCTTCTGATACCATTTGCTGGTTCCTGGGAAAAAGAGAGTGGCTGTTGGAAAGCTAGCCTGTCCTGGCTCTCTTTCTCAAAAGTCTCCTGCAGTTTTACACTTTTCTTCAGGCTGTGATCTTCTGGTCTCTTTGGATTAAATGAACATCTTAGCTTTTAACAAAACATGTCTGTTGTTGTGGAAAAAAAACCCTAAAAATGCAAAACCTTAAAATTTGTAAACCAACAGGGAAATAATGAATAGGTGTTTTCAGGGAAGGAAAGGTAGGGGGCATTGCACTGTTTTAAATACTTCTTTTTTATTATTTTTTAATTTTTTTTTTAGTACTATTTCTTCCCTAGATGAGAGTTTTATCCTATCTCACATTTCCAAAGAAAGGTTAAGGCAGCTGGCTGGGATTCTCAGTATCCTTTCTAGTGAGAAAGGATTTCTAACATCTCTCATTTTTTGTATAGTTCATGGTGCTGTTGCGTTGGAAATAAAGATCCAATACAGAATATTCCTCTACATAAGTTATTTTGTTTTAATATTGTAATCTCATGAAAAACACATGTGAGGGAGGGAATGTGGTGATTCTTAAGATTTCATATGTCCACTGAGGGATTTTCTCAAAACAAAAGAAAGACTGTTTTCTATCTTTTGGTCTCACATAATATATATATATATGAAAAAAAAATTGTTAATAGCTGGAGGCAACAGAGCTTTACAGACAAAGAAGCTTTATTTTGTCAGATTAATTTTCTCACTCCTTTTCCTGTTTTCTCTCCTGTCCCACTGGCAGGAAGGGATGGAAGGAGCAAGCCGCCAGCTGTGTGGGTGCTTGCCTGTTAGCAAGGGCCAATGTACCACAGCATCAGACCCAGTTAGGGATATAAGAATACCATAAACATAAACCGTCAGATAGAATAGGCAGCAAATATTTGGTGGATGTAGAAAAAAAGTAAGTACCAGTATAATTCTTACAGAGGGTTTGGGAAGGGTTGAGATTGGGGGGGGGGGGGGGGGGGGGGCTTGCATGTTTCAGGAGTCTGAATACATTGGCATTCTGATACTTAGGAAGCACAGATGCTTTAGCATCTATTTAGCACCTACAACACTAAATAAAATAGGGCTGGAGAGTGATCCTTCATCCTAAAACCAGCTAGCACGGGCTTGTTCATATACATGCTGCCTAAAGTTAGACTCCACTAGGCTAGGAGGAGCCTAAGAGGCTAGGAGGAGCCTGGTGGAGGCAATATGCATGTCCTAACTGCACAGCACTTAAGTAAGCTCCAAGTGTCTTGAGAGGCTTAGGAGGGACTGCTTTGATCCTAAAACTTCATTATTATTTTAGGGGATATTTCAGCTCATTGTGTCTGAAGCAATAAGAGGGATGGGTTGCAGCCCATTGAACATTGTGGTTTAGTAGTGTGAAACTGGGCTGCTGAATGACATATAGTGGAGCACCACACAGAGGTACATTGGATGAATTTGAGATGCAGAGATTGCTGGGACATTGTTGGAGAGATATTTTTGTGGGGAGGAAGATAAATCTGGTGTAGTCGTATTCGTACTGATTTTTCTGGGAGTCGTGTCTGGCATGAACCATCCTTAGAGCTGGGACTGGGCATTGTCCCAGAGAGAATTAGTTTGGCTTGTCCACAACAAAGCTGAGAAATAAAAGCATTGAAGTGATGTAAGTGATTGAGCTTCTAGTGCTTGGGTTCATTCTACATCCCTCTTTTTTGATCAACATAGATGTAAACTCTTTAGATTCTATAGTTATTGTTTGCAGCCAAAACTTTCTAAATTTCAACAAGAAACAGACGTTAGATCTGAATTTTACATAACAATGTGGGATTGAAGATTCAGCAGCAGTGGCCACGTTAATTATAATCAATTTGTGTCATTAAATTTTGGTTATTAAGACATCAATCTGCATCACTTAAAAAGAAACCAGATGTCAAAGATGGATTTTTTACCAAATAGGGTGTAGCTGTAGGCACAGCTGTTATCCCAAATCTTTGCAGTCTTCAGACATGACTTTGCTATAATTTCATACTTCTAGCCTCTCTACACTCAAGTATTTACCCCACACTCCTGCATAAGGGACTAACCTTTGTGCTTACTTTCATTTGCCAGCACCTTGCACATGTATATGTATATGTATATGTATATGTATATGTATATGTATATGTATATGTATATGAAAAGGAGGGGGAACCTGTGTGAAGAGATCATCCCCACGGCCTGCCTTTATCTGTGCCGGCAGCTCATGAAGGAGGACAGCAAGCCTTGAGCCTTCTGACCTACCTGAACACCTCATTCAACTTAGGAGATGGCTCAGATTGTGAAGTGCCATGCATTTGATTTCTGTTAATAGCCCTGTCACTATGCAGGACAAAATGTCTGTGTTTACCACAGAGAGGTAAAGAATAACTCCACACATCTAGTCCAAGACTGTAATGCCTTTTGTCTTTTAGCAGTTCCTGAAGACATCTGGCAGAGGAGACACTTACCCAGACCAACCTGAAACACCCTTAAACAAGAAACCTGCCTATGTTGGCTGTCGGCAATGTCTAGAGTTGCCTTGGAGCTATGACCCAGCAATGTCTTACAGACAAGATGTACTCCTTTGCCCACAGCATACAGCTTTAAATGATATGAGGCAAAGAAGGTTGTTACAGTCCATGTTTATTTTTTGCTCTGGCCTCATGGGTATTTTCCAAACTAAAACGGAGGCTGTGTGAGCAAGCAATCTGATGCTGCATTGGGATTAGAGAGATCAGGGCTTGGTAGAAGACAGGCAGAGGACCTTTGGGTGATTTCTGCTATCTGTCTCCGGGAAGTGAGCGTACTAGACTCTCCCACAGTGTTTCTGTGTGTTCGTAGTCCAGGCTAGACCAATCATGGCCCAAAAGTGAGACAGTTCTGGAAGAGGTGCGAAGGACTAGGCACCAGTCCTTTGCAACACACTGCCATTGCATGCAGAGTCTCTGCAGAATGATTTGTGTACAAATGAGAATCATCCCAGCTGCAGAGTGTGTTAGGAGAGATGTTGGGTGGGAAAGACTACTGATGCTGTTATCATTGGGCCGCCCTAGGAGATACGTCCTGCTGGATGTGGCACCTCCTGGAGGTGTGCTGCTGGTGATGGGGTCTCATATGGCACCCCAAGGAGCAGCATGAACACCAAGCAGCCTGTGGCTCTCCATGTAGCATTTTATTTTGCTTCTTTCCCAGCATGTGTAGTGTTTGCTGTAAGACATACACAGTCTAGACTGTCAGGACACCTGGCCACAAAACAATCCCTTTAGCAATGTGGAGTTTGTGCAGCTTGAGCAGCTGAGCACCAAAAGCGACAGGATCTGCGTGTGTAGAGTTGGATTTCCCTAGCTCTGCTGCACGAAGCTTGAGTGGCATTACTAGTTCTTTTTTTCTTTGGTTAGGAACTGCCAAACATCTTTATTTTACTAGTGATATTGAGCAGGTTGCTGGTTTTCCCCAGCCCTGCAGACCCCATAGATAGCAGTAACAGTGGTTAGATGCATTCACTGAAGGAATCTGTGTTTTTGCTTAAGAGGATCATGTATTTGTCCTCTATTCATCAGGTAGAATTAGGAAAGTAAAAGTAAAAGGTTTTCTGGTTGAGCAGAATTGAAATGCAGAATCAGGGTTGTGCAGGACCATTACCTTAGGATTTATCTGAGGGTTAATTTTGAGTTTCACTTTCATTTTTCTTTGTACACTCCTGCAAAACAGAAACCAGCAAACCCTCTAGAGTTATTCCCCTCTGTCACAGGGAAATTTGAAATGCTGGGGTAAAAAGTTGTCAGAAATATGGCTTTCAGCCAGACCTCACCATGCTTATCATAGAATCGTTTAGGTTGGGAAAGACCTTTAAGATCAAGTCCAAACATTAATCTAGACTGCCAAGTCCACTACTAATCACATCTTAGGATGAAGCAGTCTATTCCAAGACAGCACAAACTGCTGTTGACTGTTCTATTAGCTTTGCTGTCACCCCACGACTCCAGTTGGTTAAGTTGACCAAACTGAGCTTCAGCTAGGGAGTGACTCAGAATCTAGTGCATGTGTTTGCATGTGTTACAGCTGAGAGTCCAGGCAGGGGTGGGTCTTAAAAGGAATTGAAACTAAATTGTGAGAAGTCAGAAGTTTTGAGTCTTTCTCTAGCCTTAGCAGTGATACTCCTTTCTGACAAGGCAAGGTACTCCTGAAGCAATGTCTGGAATTCGAGGCTGGAGGGATGGCATCAGGTACAGGATGGCTGCTACCTCCAGTACCCCAGGATCCTTTCAGGATTACCTCTGGGATAGCAACAACAAAAGAGAGGAGGCTGAAAACCCCCAGAAACCAACAACATCTAAAAAGGAGCAAAGTGGCCAAGCATCAGGCTACCAACAACAGCAAGAGCAGTAGTAAGTAATAAGGAGCCTGACTAAGATGATGTTTCATGTATCTGGTGCCTGTTCACTTCACTCGAAGTGTGCACCTTCAAAGGTGGAAATACTTTATAGAGATCCTGTAAATAGGACTGGGCACAGAAGCAGAATGTCTTCATCCTTCTGCAGCCACCTGCTTCCTACATGGGACCTGAGTTGTTCTGGCAGGCTTCCGGATAGCATGGCTTACACCTCGTGTGATAGCAGTGGCCAGTTCTGTAGATCTAGATATTGGTGTATGTGGTGTCTGTTTCTTGGCATTCTTTTTCAAAGTGAAATTTCAAATGTGATTCTAGCTCCGTGTTTTCTGTCTCCTAAAATGTCATCCTGCAAAGTCTAAAAATACTTCCTTTGGCTTAACAGATAAAGGATAAAGGCTATATTCCAGCACTGATCCGAATGCAATCCAGAACACAGAACAGCTTCAAACAGCTTATGCTGACAAAAGTAAAACCAAAGCTTCAGCCCTCAATATCATTTTAGGTTTTATTGGCACCTATGCTCAGCCCATCTCTGATTTTCTAGTGGCAGTTCTTAGATGGCTTGTATAAGCTCTAGCTTGCACGTATAATACAGAATAGAAACTGAAAGTAGCATGTGTGTGTATGTGTATTTTATGTGTGCTTACTACAAATATGCTTAGCTGACCCAATCTAATTCTTTACAGTCTTTTTCCCCAAATGTGCTTTTGCTGAGCTATTAGTGCATGTAACACTGCATGCTATTATATGTGCTGACTTTGCTTAGTTTTCTGTCCTCCCCCCCACTTTCAAAGTGCAGCTGATGGAAACTGAAGATTGTTTCGGTTTCCTTTCCTTTCTTTTGGATGAAGAATGTGAAGCCATGCTGTGAAAGAGGTGGCAGGCTGCAGACTGCAAGCGGTGATCAGCAGCTTTCCATTATAACCCACAAATGCTTGCCTACTGGGCAGTAATGATACAGGGACTATTAAGAGCTGGGTAGCTTTGAATCTCTCAGCGCTTTAATGGCTGACTTTCAGGAGAGCAAATTCCTGAGTTACAATCTTTGTTTATTTCCTGCCACTTCCAAACATGAAAGACCCTCCTTCTTGCCTGCCCTAACACTGGCAAATATCCACAGTAGAGTGCAGGCAGCCCTAAGTTTGCTTGTGTATTTGTGCTATGTATAATTTGTTGTTGTGTTTTGGAGGGGCACGGAGGCCAGGGGATGGATAGTGAGAGTTTTCCCATTGGTATAACTGTCTTTGGACAGATTTGTTCTGGGATGCAAACCCACTTGTACAGGTTACATAAATGCTTAACCAATTGGTTAGCCTGAGATCCCCATAGAATTGAAGGCTAGAGCAAATATATTCACCCAGATTTTGACCAGATGATCACAGAATTGTAGAATGGTTAGGGTTGGAAAGGACCTTAAGAGCATCTAGTTCCAACCCCTATGATGGAATCCTCCTTAAAGCTAAATAAGCTTTGGGGGAAGAATAATTTAAAACCCTGTTCTCTTTTTCATCTTTGTATGATGCTTACAGAAAGCTGTTGTGCATCCAATGCAGGGACTGCTGAAAGTTTTTCTGCTACGTGATACGAGAGATTCTGTGTTTTCATAAAGTTGCAACAAAGAATTAATTCTTAAACATGGAGCGTACAAATTAAAGTTAGCGTTACTATGTAGCCAGTGAGGAGAGGTGAGGGAAAGGCAGATTCAAACAGAAACTCTGTAGTATGAGTGGGAAACATACTCAAAAAGCAAACAAGACTGGTGTTTACTTCCTTCTCTTGAGGAGGGGGATGCTAGCAGTCAATCTGGATGGGATGAAACTGCTTAAACTCTAATTTCCTTTAACTAACCCAGGTTGAAATGGTAGATAGTGTCTGAAATGCTGAAGGACGCAATGGCTGCTATTTAGTCTTAAAAAATAAAATTGCTATTTCATTCATTGTTTTCTTCAGCTCTCTCAAGTTATGTTTCAAACAAGATCTCAGATTAAAATGTGATTTTAACAGTGATAAAGCTGACTCAGCCTTTTAGCCAACACACCTTTTAAACATGATCTTTAAAATTAAAATGCTAAGACACCCTCAAAGTAGTCCAGGTTTTCAGACTCTGAGATAACCAGGGGTTGAACAGAGCAGTTGGAGAGCTGAAGTCATAAGGTATCAGTAGAAGAAATGATGCACAGACTAGCATTAACCTAGAAGATTTTTTGGAATATGCATAGCAGGGGGAGCATGAGGGGCCAAAGCTGGATACCTCTGTGCCAATGAGTGCCTCTATTCCAGCTTGTCTGCTGCTTCCTATTTTTTGAAAACAAGCAGGATGTGGTTTTGCTGGCAGCAAAGCAGAAGTTGGAGTCTCTTTTGAAGTCTATGTGTGAACTGCTTCCATGCAAACCCTCAGTCTGAAGCTGTGCTTCAGAGCAATTGGGAGTGAGAAAACACCTTTGCAGCATGTCAGTGATATCTGGTGACATTTCATGTAGACTGGACACATGAAATACATATGGGATGTGGCATGTTGTGGTCTTATCCACTAGTCAACATTCAAACTTGACTATTAAAAAGCACAAGGTGAGCAACTGATATTAGAGGGTAATTTTTCTCTTGCTTTGGAAAAGCCCTTATATATGTCAAGACTGAGAAGTTATAATAAAATGGTCCTAATTAAGTTAAGAAAAATACTTTTTCAAATGTAAAATTCAGATCAAACTTTGCACATCCCCTTATAGTTATATATAGTATATGATTTCAGGCCATAGAAAAAAAATCACCAGGATGACAAGTGCTTGAAACTGCATATAATAATAAGCTTGAATGTAAGTTACTTCACTTTGTCTGCTAAGTGCCATGAAATTAACTTGTAGAAAGTGAACTCACAAATTGCCCCTGTTCATGTCTATTCAGAAACAAAAGCCTGTATGAAGAAAAAGTGGAGGAAATTGGGGAAATTAGAGGCTGAACTATAGCTACCGCCTGAAAAAGGAAATGCTGCTCTCATTCAGCATTCTGCCCTTGGCACCTTTAAAGCTGGCAAGAATAATATTGGTTCTGGTAAAATCCATTAAAAAAAATCAAATTCAGATAATAAAATCTGAAGATACATTGTCACACAGCTGGTAACAATCCCTCATCATTTTGTATGAAACGAGAGCAGAGAATGCTTGACTCATAAAGTTGTATTCTTTGACTGCTGAAGCCAAATCCATCAGGGTTTTTCTTTTCTTCCTTTTCCATTCTTCATCCTAAATTAAAAAGAAAAATATCCATAGTATTGTCAGACTTCTCAATCTTTTTCTGACAGAGTATATTTAACAGTTCTTCTGAAAATTTTATTTTGTTTCACAGTCTGAAATTTCTTTTTAAAAGCACAAAATTAGTCTATGAAATGGCAGGCAGATGCTTAGCAAAATTCTTTTTTTACCCCCTGCCCTGTCAGTAGTGGGAGTGCTAGAAGGGTAATTTGAATTATGGACAATCTGTTTACAGCTGTGTTCTGCTGCGCAGGAGAAATCTCCCAACTCTCTATCTTTCAGGCTGATGTACTAATCTTTACAGCCTAGAGATGCCTGCTTTCACAGTGGTCAGTAGCCAGCCTTGTCTGCAGCCAAGTGTCTGGTGGCAGGTCTGCATAAAAGAATAACTGCAGTAAGACTTCTGTTAGTCTGGATTCTGGTGGCTGCTGTGTTCCTTATAGAGGTGGGGAGCAAGCCCTCCTAAATCCTGTGTTAGAAGGTTTTCTCAGAAGAGCTGGATGTGCACAAGACCTGGCATGTTCCCTTGGTGCATAGCTTGATGAGGAGCTGTGGTGAGATGGTGGAGAAGGAACATATGGGAGGATACTGTGTTTGGGCAGGGGAAATGAACAGACAACAAATACTGCAAGGCAGAGGTAGATGAAATATATTGTCGAAAAGAAAGTGGGGAAAGCAGAGGTGAATACGCCACTAGTATATGTCTTAATCTTAATAGGATACTGCATCTGACCTGCTCAGCTCTCCAAGCATGCTGGCAAGCCTGACTCACAACACATGGATACCTCTGCAGGAGGTAGCTCTGCTCAGCACTGGTGTTGCCAAGCCCATTACCCAGCCTGCCCGTGTATGGATACTTTGTGCTCCTCACGGCTAGTGACTACCATGTGCTCCAGCTGGCTCTGGCACACCCGCTGCATCCTTGGCACTGTGCTGTGCTGAGGTAGCTGAGCTGCTTTGGGACCTGGGGACAACATAAACACAGCTGTATTTGATTTCATCAGACTTTGTTGGGTCTGATATTAGCCTATCACACTGGCACAGCGAACTCACACTGGTGCCCGAGAGTGTATGCTGACTAATGGCATGTTAGCATTTCCAGAGAAGAGAGAAAGCTTTTCTGTGAGCCAGGTTTGGGCTGAGAGATACCCCTTGGCTCACTGGTTTAGTCCATCACTGTGACAATTTCCTTAGAGCTTTAGAAAGGTGGTTGAGATAGTCCAAAATGAGATGCTGGCTGAAGCACTTGCTGTTCTTTCTACTGTGCTGTCATATGCCAAACCCTGACCAAGCTGCTGAATCTGAGCCCCATCTTAATTCCTGGAAATTCAGTTCTGAGATTTACTCTTTGGACCAAATTGTAACTTCTGAAATTTCTCTACAATCTTGTGGGTAACAGGACTGAGATTTGATTGCCAACAGCAGAACCACAGTTCTGTTGCTTTCCTGCTTGTTTCAGACTCTTACCTTCTCCTGGGCCTCTCTCTGCTGCTGTTTTCCTCCTGCTTTTCCCCCACATAAGTTCACTTCTGCAGGATTTAACTCACTATGGCAAAAACATTGTCTGTTTTAATGAAAGCTTTAGCTAACCAGAGGGACCAGATAGAGAAGTGAGTTACCCTGGCTTAATAAGCTTCCAGGCATCAGGTGAACTGTGGTAATTAAGTTCACACTTAGCCTGTGGCAAAAAGAGGACAAAATCCATGAATGTAGACTTCTGATGATAAACATTTTCTGCTAATGCACTTTATTTTCTGCCTCTCATGTAAAGAGTACACATGGAGCTAGGATGAATCAGACAGTGTATAGTGTTTAGGCCCAGTAATTCACTTTTGTCTCTGAGCTGCAAACTGGTAAGATGCTGCTTCTGATAAAGATGGAAAGGGAGAGACTCAAGCCTGCATGCAAGGTTTGTATACCCTCCTGGAGCTCTGCTTATGGCAGTGCCATGGCATAGAGCATATTGAGCTGTGGCTGTCAGTTATTGATAGCATCTGGCCTGGTGGGCCTTGCAAAATAGGAATACCTACAGGACAGTTGTCTACTCCCTGGGATTTGGCTTCTTGTAGCCCTCTGACTTGACAGCTTCCATGGTGCTTAGCAGCATGTGGATGTTCCGTCAGGCATGGGAGCACTGGTGAACACAATACTTTGTGGTGTCATGGATGCTTTTAAAGCAATTCCTGATAATTGACTGCAACGTTTAGCTTGGTGCATCTTTGAATGAGAATTAACAATTGTGTTTGGCACTTTGGTCCCTTTTCTCTTCTAAATTCAGTCTTAACAGTATTTATTGCAGTATTTCACCTATATCTTCACTTCTGTCCTTTCTCCAAATTGAACCTGCCCAGATCTTCTTCCCAAGCTTTAATCATCTGCATTGCTCTCCAACTACACTCAGATTCGGTCTCCTACTTAGAGCCCATTGCCCAGCAGAGCAAAATATTTAGCTTTTAGCTTTGTGGCATTCATGTACTAGTGCACTGCAGCATAAAACACAGTAGAACTGGAAATATTTTACAATAGCCATTACTTTTGTAACTCTTTAAATTACTTCACACGTCATTTGGAAATCTCTCCAGTGGTAGGTGACTGGAGTAGGCTTGAGGAAATGCTTAAGGACACAGACATACAGAAAACATTATTAGTGAATATTTTTTCAGTGTTAGAAATAAGCTATTTTATACAAATCTGAAAGAAAGTAGAACAAAGGTTTCTGTGGTCTATACCCTTAAAACATTGAAAAGGTGCTCTTGAGTAGTGCTAGTTAGATGAATAGACTTACACACAGGATGCAGAATTTAAGATGGCAAACATGGTGTTCTCTGTGTTGCTGGTCACTCAGACTATAAACTCTCCTTGGCAATTTTCTGTGACTCTGTTGCATGTTTCTCCAGACCGAAACGTTTCTCTCTATATTTCTATTTTTATATATATATATTGTTATCTAGGTACTTATCTTCCCACTACTGTGGTATTTGACATCTATCTGAAAAATCATATGAGGTTGCATTTTGGTTTTATTTCAATACAGATACATTCTCTTATTGGGTTATAACTTTCTTATTCTCATTAATATCTGTTCAGTCTCTCTAATTAGTCAATACATTCCCATGTTCTGTGGACAAAGTAAACAAAAAAAAGTCTTATCAAGCTTTATATGATCTATAAAGGCAGAAGACAATTTGCTTCTCCGTTTTGAAGAATTATAAAGTGGATAAGATGTTCTCCCCACCTCCTCCAGTGACTTCTGTACTTTTATTTATAAAACAATCCTACTTCAAAGATAGTCTCAAGTCATATAACAATAAGAATCACTGTTAGGGAACCTGTAAAGTTAAATTCTTTATCATCTTATTTGGTTGTGAATTTTGAAGCACTTCATATATTGATATAAAGTATAAAAAGTCTGTACACCACTGATAGCTTCAGATTTTCACATTTCCTTAATTGCTACCCAGGTAAGTAGGATAATATGTTCCAGACTTACGGCTACTGTGACAACTCAGAAGCTGACTGGAATATTAAATTGACAGGCTGTAGTGGGTTTTATGGGCTTTACTGGAACAGAGGTTTTGTCTGAACAAAGAAATAACATGCAATATCCTGCAAATTGGCTAAAAAAAACCCCAGGTGAAAGCTGGTGGTGGTTTTCTTTCCATTAACCTGCTTTCCTTCAAAATAATCTCAAGAAAAAAAGGGACACTAGGTATGGTTTTTAATTTTAGCATTAAAACTGGTAGGGCAGGTGAAGTCTCTAAAGCAAAAGCCCATCTGTCTCCCCTTCTGCTGTAGGCTTGTAGACTTTCACCCACTCCACAAGAAGTTTACCATGTGCATGCTCTTTCTTTCCCCTGATCCCAGTACCCATACCTTACATATCTATCTCTCTGGAGACAAAGGTGAACAGTATAAAATTAGATAAACTTAATAATGCTTTTTCTTCTGTTTTATGTACTCTTAACTTGGAGTAAAACAAAACATGTAGTATAAGCACTAGGTAACAGACAACCGAAAGATGGTATCCTTCCTTACCCTCTCCCACTGGTGACTTGACATCCTAATTTTATTTTACCTTTGCCTTTATTTCAATAACATGGAAACCAAACTGGCCTTTAATTAAACATTCTTTTAATCACAATAACTTTAAACCTCTCTTTGGAAGACAGAGCAGAGCTTTCCCTGGCGATAAGCGTATCGTCACCTCTAAGCTTTTCATAAACTGATTGGCCTTTGCTGTATTGCATATGCTGTTCTTCTGAGCTCAGAGATAATGACCATGGTCATATGTCAGAAGAATGACCCCCACTTGGCCTCCCAGACTCCTAGCCTTCCAGCTAAAAACCAGAAGCAGATAAAGGAAATGATTCATGGCACAAGGACTAGAACTGATACCGTGATTTCTCATGCATGTGCAGACAGACATTTTCTTTTGAAAACGATTCCTAATGTTTTAAAAAAGCAACCATTCAAACACTGTTGTAAGTCATCAAAGTGCATCTGATGATGTGAAAACTCTGTTGTCCTCTAGTGCTGTGAAGCAGTGTGATGTCTGAGATGCACTGATGGCTTTTTTGGGGGGTGGAAATAGGTAGCCCAGCAACCCAGACATTTTTTTTTCACTAACAAAGAGAGGGGGCTGTAAGATCCTTATTTTTTATGTTTCAACTTGAGAGAAATATGATCTTAATATCTGAAACAGCCAAGAAAAACTACTAAAAAAATTGTGGCACTGATAATTGCACAGCAGCTTGTCAAGGCAGTTTGGGATAAGGCAAATGCTACTATTCAGTCAAATAAAGAAAACTCTGAAGAAACGTCACTGATGGGGAATGTTATGCCATAAGCAAGAGGGTTGTCAAAACTTATTTTAAGTAACTGTTGTACTTGTGAAATGAATGCCAGAGGGGTGTTGCTGCTGTCTTAGCTCCTGCCTTTGAGGGCCTGGGATTTGGTGGAGAGGTGAAGAGCAGTCTTGTGGATGCCAGGCTATGCTGGCAGGAAGGGAAAGGATCATACTAAATGGCACCATTAAAGTTCACAGCTCTATCTTTACTAGTTTAATCTCATAAATTAACCCACAGCCTCCTGGAATAAGTCTTCAAAGAGAAAGAGGTAATTGGATATAAATACTTTCCTTCCCAAACCCTGAATTACAGTGATACAGCAGCAGGCAGCTTTTTGCACTTTGATCTCTTTGCATGATTTTTATTCACTTTTCAGCTTCAGTCTCAGGCCACATTCTTTCATTAGTTTTCCACAGCCAACAGTGGTCTCTCCACTTTCTATTTTGTCCTCTAGCCAGCCTCTGTGGCCCTTTCTTCTTTTAAGAGGCTTGGCCTTCACCCCTCATTATTCTTTGTTGTCTGCTCTTCTCCTTGGGCCTTCTTCATAATGAAGTCAGATGAAATACTTGTCACCATGCATTCAGGTAAAACCTTGCTGAATGCTGCAGACAGACTGAGCTTACTCTGGTACATGGAGCCAAGTGCTCTTAGTGCTTCTCTGGTAAACCTGCACCCCTGTGGCTCAGCCTCTGCTGAGCGGGAGCAGTATAAATTCCTACCTGCACAATACACTGTCTGACAAAACCCTTTGTTTTCTCCAAGTGGAACTGACATGTTTTCATCACTCTTTTGATCACCTGGAGTCTCTAATACACTCTGAACCCTGTCCTGCCTCTTTGCTGTCACGTTAGATTGATAGCTCCCTGAGACAGCAACTGCATTTTGAATTGAGTCTAGCAAACAGGGCCTTTGTCCTGATTCAGTGAGTCGCACCTTAGGCATGACAGCAAGATAAATACACCCAAGGAATTCCTCCTGCCTGACAAACACAAGGCTAACAAAGAAGCTAAGGCTTGGGAAGAGAGCGAGTCACCTGGGTCCATCACAAACAGTGTGATTTTGCATGTTCCTTGGACTATTTTGGGGCAGACTGCCTAAACCCACAAGGTGGTGACTGTGAGGTGCCCTTGATGTATGGGGTGGGACTGGAGCACCAGTGCTCTTCCCAGTAGACTGTTCTTTGTGCCTGAGCAAGCTGTGGAAGTAGTTGTCTACTGCATGGAACATTCTGATTCAAGGAAGTAATTTGATTTGAAATGCATGAGTTTTGAGGTCAGCAATCTGGCATGAGGCTTGAATAAGAAGAGTGAAGGCTATGCTAAAATGTTATCCTTGGTATTTGCAACCAACTCCAACAATAACAAATATTCCTGGAATATTTACAAAAAGTTCCTGAAGAGCTGAATCAAATTAAATACCAGGTTTGATACAAAGTTAGTTGGTACAACAGCAGAAAGCTGATGAAGGAGCCCCCATCTAGTCCTGGTTTTGTGAAGACAGGAAACTGAGTGTTTTCTTTCTTTTTAGTGTCGGCCCTTATGTCTTGATAACTCCAAATGAAACCAGAAGAAACCAGCTGCAGCAAAGTAAGTTGGGTCATCTAATATGATAACAACTTATTTCTGTTTGAATAAATGTATGGGTTTGTGCACTTTATTGCCTTTGCAACTTTCATCCTCATTTTCACGATGTTTTTCTGTGTGCAGCAGTAACAGTGAAGTCAGTGCTATGAGCATTATTCATGATAATGTAGGCTTTTCATAGGAATAACTTCTCACCTGGCTAAACTTCATGAAGAATAAGCCTTGTTCAGGAAAAGGTTTTTGGTAATTTCAGTGCCGGAGTTGTTCAAGTTGGATTCTACAAGACTCATCTGGAATTAGCTCTGTCCCACTTTTACAGGATTGAGGTCAGATGGCAGAACACTCTCTGGGTTAGGGGGAGGAAGAAGGAAAAGTAAGTAAGAAATGTTAAGACTAAAGCAACTAGAACCACTGTTGGTTCTTGAATCTCCATGTAAGGATTGTAGGTGGCTCTTTTAATGAAGCTTGTAAAGATCATTTTAGATGGAAAATATCTGTGGATATAAGTTCACTTTTATTTGGCTTTAAGTCTTGCCTTTGAAAGTAGCCAAGCAGGATAACTTCTGCCAGAAAGATTTGGTGAAGTTACAACAAGAGGTGGTTGTAAAAGAAATTCTGTATGCAGAGGTGACCAAGCACCGCAGCCCTACATTCCTGACTGTTTATTTGTGCAAGTTATGAAAGTCTGAAGGAATGTCACTCACATTTTGAGCCCTCAAGAAAGCAGTGCAATTAAATAATTTTTTCTCTAACATAATGAGTTCAGCTCAAATGCTTCACCATTAGATTGGTATAGGGTTGGGTTTCCTTTGGCTGCAAGAAAGAAAATGGATTTTTCCTGAATCAAACTATAATCTTCTGGAAGGAGAAATAAAAACATGATCTTAGAGCTGGCTCTGACGTCAGCAGCAAAGATGCTTCTGCTCTAATAAAGATCTGTTTTCACTCTGTGCCACCAGTGTTCAAGTTTGAAGCATGCCAGGTGTTTCTGCCTTGGATGCTGCCAGAAATATACTCTCAACAAGTCCAGTCTCTACATAAGTACTTGTTTCAAAGGTGAAATAACAAGCTGGTTTCTATCTTCAGCCTCTTTAGGGACTTGCCCAGGAACTAGCTTTGTCTTGTTAGAGGAGAGCTGGTGTTATCATCTGATAGCCATAGACTGCCGCTAGAAAATATGATTCATATTAGTTTTAGTAAGAATGAAATGAGTGCCTAGAGGAATTATGTACTTCTGTAAAACAAAGCTCCGCTTTCCATAGGCTTTGTCAGCCTTGCTATTTTTTCCCTTTGTCAGTCAATTTGAAAGCACAGTTTAACCAACCAGCCATCCCTGACCATGCGGCTGGTGCCTCTGGCTGTATTGACTAGACTTCACCTGACCACACCGGGAACTTGCCACCTACCATACATGGATGAGATGTTGAAGTGTCTTACTCTGAAGCTGAATTATGCATTCCTCCTGTTGTTATGTAGGGAGCATGTAGCTGGGAGGGAAGATCACTTTTTTTATTCCCTGCTGGGGAGCGTTACACTACAAGCACTTCCCTCCATGCAGCAATAACATCTTAAACGTAACAGCTTCTGCTTTGTCTAGAAGAGTAAACACTGTGGCATTTGCCTACAGGTTCCTAGGGGTTAAAAAGCAGTTTATTATCTGTCCCTTTACTCTTTTTTGTTGTTTTGCTTTTGGGGTTTGATTCAGAGAATACTCCAGGAACAAACTTGCCAACAAAGTTTTCAAGCAGGTATTCTTTATTGCGGCGCCGGGAGACACGATGGATAGCTCCTCCTAACGTGTGTCTCCGTATTGCTACACAAGCCGTCCTTATATAGTCACTGGGCATATATACATATTCATGAGGCTACGTATGAATGACATCATTTTCCAGAAAGTTCTCCCCATGTGTACAGAATTGTGGTGGTGGTCTCTCAGGGTTGTTTACTTCTTCCAACAATCTTCATCACTTCTGGCAGCCTTTGAAACATGCACAGTAGATGCTTATACCAGCTTAATTGGTTCGTTAGCACCAGAGACATAATAATCCTCCTGTCCTCCTACTTATCAGTTAGTTTAACTGTAGCCCAACCTGGACACACACCATTCCCAGATACTCCTTATCCCTGTGTCCTGTTCTTCTAGACTGTTTTTCTTAAAACTATGTCAACTATAATGATTTATCTTGTACAAGAATTCTCAGTATGCTCTCTAGCTGTACTGTACTTTTTTTCTATGTATCATGCACCTCAGTAATTTTCCACTGCTATTGTTAAAAAGCCATGAAACTTAACATTACTTAGAACTGATTCTAAAGGTTTATATATTCCATTTTGTAATTTTGTGCCCCCGCCCCTTGTCTCAGGTTAAGTCCTAAGGTTTTTTTCACCATACAGTCTGAAATTAGGCAAAATGTTTGTTTTGTTAGCTGATCATTGCTCTGACTATGTAACCTCCTGGGGGGTGTCTGCACCCCTTGAAAACAAGTTTGTCTGTTCTTGGATGGTCTTCAGGGTCACATAAAATTAACAACAATACCTCCTTTTTAGTGTCGCCTCTAACTTTCATATATTTGTTTCTTTTTGTACCTGCTCAGTTGCTAAGAAAGAGCTGGATGACCTGCAGTGGTGGAAGGAAACGCACAGGCAAAGGCCGATTAACTTGGTTCCACAGAGACTGGGTAAGACATGCAAATCATCTATTATGAGTTATAAAAATTTATTTTCCAGGTCATGAGACATTTTTCACTTTTTCTCTCATGCTACTTATTAAAGAGATTCAATGTCCATCAGGGCTAACATGAGCCTACTGTGTGTACTCTGTGTTTTTTGATGGTCATGGCAACAAAGATGTTTCTGAAACAAAACAGCATAGACTGTCACCCAAGAAATCTGTCAAGATCAGTGTAGAAAATCTATACTAATATTTGGGAAGAGAGGCAGATTATCCCTCCTGCTGGTGACATTGTCTGTGGTTGGTGTCTCTGTTGGGGTGCACACTTGGCATTAGTGTGCAGATGGACAGCATGTGTCAGAGACCCTCCAGTTACCTACAAGAAAACTCCTCTGTGTTAGGGGCCAGTACATGTGCTTTCCTGACTGCTGGCTCTTTAAAAGGCAAAAGTGATCCCTTCAGCTTCAGCCATTTGCAGGCTAAATGAATGAGGCTCTGGATTACCAATTTTATAAAAACAACAACAGACACAGGTAAATGGAAAACAGGATAAAAGGCTGCAGGAACTTAAGTCACTCTGAACTGATGTGTTTGATAAGGTAGCCAATTTTTTTTCTAGACAGGTGATCTCTTCAATTGTAAGCACTATAAATAATTTAATTTAGTGCTATTTGGGTGTTAGCTAAAAAAAAAAATAAAAAAGATGAAAAGTTAAAAAACTAATGAACCTGCCTCCAACCTTGTATGGAAATTAAGACTGAAGATTATGCTGAAGCAAGAGGAAAGCTATTAGAAGTGCTTTTGAAGTACCAGTCTTCAGACCTATCTTGTTTTACTATCTTTCTTTAATGTCTTTGGCATAAAAGGTAGGAAAGAGCTGATGAAACTTGCTAGCCAGACAAAACTTGAAAGCATCATCCATATAGAACATGATGAGGATACTGCACAGCAAAAATGGGATGACCTTCAGGAACTGCACTAATAGAAATTGGCAAAATTAATTCTGACAAAGTGGAGGATTAAAATGATTCCTCTATTAATTTTGTAGATCTGGAACTGCTCTTCCTTTGCTTTGCTGTCATAGGAGAATTTGGGGTAAACAGTGCAGGTTATCATCTGTCTTGACCTGGGAACTAAGTTCTTTCTTTGCCATGCTGCACAATGTAAGTTTCGTGTGATGCACTGTGTATAAAAATTTGTACCAGGTGGGAGATGGAGGAATTCAAACTGACTCCAATGAAGATTTGTGTTTGTGGTCAGGATGATACTGGTCCCACATGTTTCTTTTGCCCAGCAGCCTGAGTCCCAGTTGGTTGCAGTGGTGAGACTAACCTTGAAATTCGATGTAACACCCTGTGTTCCCAGCCATCCATGTGCAGTCATGTAGATGGATGTACTCTTTGTGAATTCAAGCTGCTTCTTCTTGCCTGTGAGCAGTTCCTAGTAGACATGCTTCTGTCCCAAGAGGAACACAAAGAGAAATCTAAACCCAGAAGTTTTGTGTGTGTTGTCTATGCAGAATGTGTGCAGGCTGGCTGTGTGCCTGGGTGTGTGGTGGCAAACTTGCAGTGACTGGGTGTGGGAAGTCTTCTTCTGGTCCCACTGCATTTTTTTGGAAAGAAGCAAATTAAGAGGGGGAAAGAAAGCTGAAAGAACTCAGGGAGTTTATATGAGCTCTTCAGTCAGAGTCTAGCTGCCACTTTGAAAGACCCCTGGAGACTTGAGACACATGCACTATGTTCAGTGCCTCTGAAAAGAGGTAAGGTGCAAAGATCATTAGATCTTATCATTCCCACAGGAACAAATTTGGAACAGAAGAGAGCTCAAGGAAGGAGAAAAAAACACAAGTGGCATCTCTAATTTCACAAATGTAGGTACTCATTAAGGTAAAAAGTATCGTATATTATTTCCTCAGAGTGATTTTAAGAGACTACACATCTGGTCCAAGTCACCAGAGAATTCTTGAAGTTTCTAATGTTCCATAGGGTAATAGATATTCTGGATTTCAACTCTCTAATATTCGACTGGCAAATTTTCAGGTACCATGGAGGGTTGAGAGCAATGAAAGATGCATGTTCCGCTGTTTTCTCCATGACCAATAAGTGGAGCAAAGCTTGATAAATGCCATAGTCTCTTTTTTTGATCATGCTATATAAAACCAGTCACAACATACTCTGACTTCAGTGGAATGTTGGACGCATTACATGCAAGCCAAACCGAATGAATTAAACCTGGCTGAAAGGCTATAGGCAGTGGCTAATAATGAAGAAAAAACTGTTGAGAGCTTATGTCCAGCAAAACATGCAGAAAAATGCAGTGAACACAAGAGTTCTAAATGTTGCCAATAAAAGACTAGAAAGAAAGACCACACATCCAAAAAGATATAAAACTTGGTCAGTAGCGATCCTATTTTCTAGACTTGGGGGAGAGACACTCTACAATGCAAGTTGTGTGCTTATTGCTACTGTAAGCTTGTTGCTTGTATACCGTATGGCCAGTCTTTCTTGAGAGTTTAATCTTAACTGAGTTATTACAGTATCACAGTATCACAGTATGCTATAGATTGAAAGGGACCTCAAAAGATCATCTAGTCCAATCCCCCTGCCGGAGCAGGAACACCTAGATAATGTTACACAGGAATGTGTCCAGGCGGGTTTTGAATGTCTCCAGGGAAGGAGACTCCACAACCTCCCTGGGCAGCCTGTTCCAGTGTTCTGTCACCCTCACTGAGAAGAAGTTTCTTCTCAAGTTTAAGTGGAACCTCTTGTGTTCCAGTTTGTACCCATTACCCCTTGTCCCATCATTGTTTGCCACTGAGTAGAGCCTGGCTCCATCCTCGTGACACTCCCCCTTTTTATATTTATATACACTAATAAGGTCACCCCTCAGTCTCCTCTTCTCTAAACTATAGAGACCCAGCTCCCTCAGTCTTTCCTCTTAAGGGAGATGCTCCACTCCCTTAATCATCTTAGTTGCCCTGCGCTGGACTCTCTCCAGCAGGTCCCTGTCCTTCTTGAACTGAGGGGCCCAGAACTGGACACAATATTTCAGATGTGGTCTGGATTTGTGTGCATAGAAAAGTTGCCACAATTAGGGAATTGATCTCTTATCCACTGAACCTCACAAAAGTACCTAAAAATTAGTTACCTTTCATTACTAATTGGAGAAAGATACTTTAATGAAGATTGATCTCTCCTGAAAGATCTAGTATAGTTGTCTTATGTTTCCTAGAACCATAGAGTGGCTTTAGTTGGAAAGGAGCTTAAAGATCATCTAGCTCCAGCCCCTCTGCCATGGGACACCTTCCACTAGACCAAGTTGCTCAAAGCCCCCTCCAACCTGTCCTTGAACACTGCCAGGGATGAGGAATCCACAACTTCTCTGGACAACCCCTTCCAGTGTCTCACCACCCTCACAGTAAAGAATTTCTTACCAAAATCTAATCTAAATCTACCCTCTTTCATCTTAAACCATTCCCCCTTGTCCTGTCACTACATGACCTTGCAAAAATCTCTCTCCAGATTTTTTGCAGGCCCTCTTTAGGCACTGGAAACTGCTCCAGGGTCTCCCAGAGCTTTCTCTTCTCCAGGCTGAACAAGTCCAACCCCCTCAGGCTGTCTTCACAGGAGAGGTGCTCCAGCCCTCTGAGCATCTTCACGGCCTCCTTTGGACTTGCTCTGACAGATCCGTGTTCTTATGTTGAGGGCCCCAAAGCAGAATGCAGCACTGCAGGTCGGGTCTCACCAGAGCAGAGCAGAGGGGGAGAATCACCTCCCTCCACCTATGCACACTCCATTTGATGCAGCCCAGGATGTCAGGCACCTCACCAGGTTTTCCTAAAGCAAGAAAATACTTTGGAAAAAAGTAGACAAAATAATAGAATTAAACCCACTCTCTCCATCCCTTAAGACACACTTTCTCTGTGTGGTTGGTTTTTCATTTGGGTTTGTTTGTGGTGGGGTTTTTGTTGTTGTTGTTATTGTTTAAGTGAAGGCTGAACATTACGGACAAAGGTTTAGATGTTTTCAAAAGAGAGTTTATGCCTTTGGAAAGGACACCTTCTGATACCTGAATATGAATAAGAGGTCTGTGGGAAAAGGCTTTGATTTCCATTTCAGAAAGGTGATTCTTCCTAAAGCTCCAAGATATTACTTAGAAGATATTCAAATGATAGCATCCTGTTAGCTGGCAGACTCCAAGCTCCTAAACTTGATAAAAAAGAAACTTTTTGGTAACAAAATTTCTGAATCTATATGTGTATGTGTGACAAACTGAGCAAAGGTGGCAAGAGCTAGATCTGAAAATGAAGGCTCACCTGCAAAGTGTAACTGATTTTCTGAGAATGGAATAGTTCCTCAGTAAACTGATCATCTACCGTAGGACTTATTTGCTGGTAGAATGGCTGATACAGTGGATGCTCTGTAAATAACAAGCTAGTGCTTTTGATGGATGGATAAAATGATCAAAAAGGTCTCCTATCTGTTCTCTTTAATGTCAGGCAGCTACTGTAATTATGAAAAATTTCCTGTATATGCATACATCCAATCTGTTTTATTGCTCTGTTCTGCAATGGCTGGTATTTGAACTTAAAATGCTCATGCAAAATGCAATTTATCCTTTTTTTTTTTTTTTTCCCTTTCAGGTGGAAAGCAATCAGAAGCTCAAGTAAGGCAAAACCAGCAAATGATGCTCATGCAATCCAAATACCAGCAAAAGGTCAGGAAGAATAAATTTGTTTATTATAAGAACTCAAAACCCCTTGCTTTTCATGAAGTGTTTCATATGGCTATAAAATGAACTCACAGCTGCTTTACAAAAGAAAGCCATGAAACCTGAAGGAAGCAGCGGAAAACTAGAAACAAATGTTCTGCACCAAAGAAAATGAGAAATCTGTCTATAAATATGTAGCAAGCAGTATCACAGATCATATGTAAAGTGATAACCCATGCGGTTGTAAAAGCTACTTATATGCCTCCCTGTATCATCTGGCACGCTGCCTACACTTCAACTAATTGATCAATATACCACCCCATCCAGTGCTTATATAGAGGTGTTGTTCCTATTATAAAAGGTTTAAATGCTATTAAGTTATCAATCAACTGTGTGATTCCTTGCATAAATACCCATTTATCAGTCCTAGATTTCTCAGCCATCTTAAAGCTGATACTGGAGTAGCTGGTGCATGGCCTGCTTTATTCAGTGTCTCATCATAAGAAAAAATTCTGGAAACTTTCCTCAAACACACTTTAGATTTGAAAGACATGCATTGCAGGAGCGAAGTCAAGTCACCTTATGTGTTCTTTGTATGCATATGTATGTAAAATTATTTTCTATGTTTATGTCAATGCAGCACAAGAGAAGAGAATATATAAAAGCAAAAAAGGAAGCTGAAGAAACTGAAATCCTGAAAAAGAAAGCATTGCAGAGAGAAAAGGTGAGTATGGTTGCTGCAGAGTTAGAGCTATAAAACAAAGGACATGTCTTGATACTTGATTTAGCTGAACTACACGGAACAGGCAAATTAAATGGTAGCCCTGGACTGCATCAAGGAGTTAGGAAATTCAGTTCTCCTTTGACTAAAGGATGCTTTACTTGGTGTTCTTTGGGGCTTGAGCATTCCTCTGGCTCTTCAGAAACTCCAGTATCTCAATCGCACCCATCCTGTAGAGTTAGCAGAAAGAGAGTACACTAGGGTCAGGGGAACACAGGTCACACACTGTTGTGCATACAGATTATATAGTTCACTTTGGCATGAGCTTTCTCTGTAAAATCAGATTGTGGCAGATCACACAAAGACCTCATAGAAATCCATAGCTGCCTGCTGTACACATGGGAAAAATACAAGAAAATATAGCCTGTCCTAGTGGAAAAGGAATCCAAATCGTGAAGAGGTCAGTGTAGTCTATCTGCATTGTGCTGAGCTCGCCCTGAAATTCAAATGCCACTCCAGCCCCTCTGGGGCTTGCACACCCAGGTGTATTGCTAATATGTAAGGTCACTTTCCTTCTAATATTCACCATACATTGACACCAATGGTAGCTCACTTTCAAATACTATGTTTGATTTTGTGTTTCTTTGTTTTTTTTTTTCCCTAGTTATTCTCACAGAGGATCTTACACTGTGTGTTGCATAAACCTTTGCAAAAGTTAACTCATGTCTCCTTGCTGGCAACCAAGTAACAATCTCTTGAGATTGTAATGTAGAACTTAAATAAAAAAAGAAAAGAGGAGGAGCATGATACTGATGTATGTAGTAATGATAACAGAAAGGGAGATTTCAGGTTTGCAGGTTTTGTCTTCACAACAGTAAAAATGATCTTCTGTGCAGAAGAGTTAATTTAAAAACTCACCACTGCTGGATGGCTTACGATGGCACCCACAAACAAAAATAGCACTAATTGCCTCTAGGTAAGGGTTAGTCTGTTCCCAGTCTTTCAGTGCTTAGCATTGCTCTTTGAGCAATAAATATTTGCCCATACCCAATAGCTCACAGGGGCAATAAATACTGTCATGTGAAAATGTCATAAACAGTTACCAGCTCATGTATAGCTCCAGAAGCAATGATGATAGCAATTGTAGAAAGGGGATTAATTATACTTTATTTACCTATTAAATATATTGTTTCCCCATGGGCTTTTGATACAAAAGATGTTGCAAGACTGCTATGATTTGAATTTACACCTAAAAAATATATTGATGTATCAGTTTTCTTTTCATGCTCTTTAAATTTTTTTCCCTTCACTCCCACAGAATATAAAATCTTTATAGATGTTGTAGATAGTAAAACTGTAGCTATCAGTTTCTTATAAAGCAGAATGCTACGTCATGGCAAAACATCTTTGCCAAACAGACGGTTTAATTTGAATAAGCAAACATATACCCACAAAGCAAACAAACAAAACAGAGGAGCATGAAAGGGAACTCTTAATTTGAACTCCTTTATTTGGTGTGTCTTCCACAACAGTGATTGAGCTGATGATGATTTCTGTTTGGAAGATATTTTATATATAAAAAATGTAGCTCTGTGTGTAAGGAAAGCATGCTGAAAAGCTTCTTTTTAGTGTCAATTTGGCTGCCTCATCCTGCCTGCAGATGAAAGGCTCTCAAGAGCAGAGTATGACAGGGAAGGGATCCTAAAGAACTGGTACTGTACAAGCAACATTAGGCCCTGGTTAGTGCAGGAGAACTTTATTTTTGAAGTGATAGATCTGTAGACAATTGCACCTGTGGGAACTCAGTGGAGAGCATGCCTTTCTACAAATGCACAAGCTTCCTTTTCTTGCTGGCAAGTCCTTTTGCTGAAGGTTATTACTCATGGTCTGGTGTGAGGCTTCCCTGCCTGTGGTAGGGGTTTGGAACTAGATGATCTTGAGGTCCTTTCCAGCCCTAACCATTCTATGATCCTATGATTCTATGATTCAATAAAACCCAAATCATCAGACAGTCTGAAAGAAGATAATGGCTAGCCAGTTTTATCAGCAGGGCCTCTGAAACTTTCACAGCTGGAAAGCTGCTTTGCCATCAGATGTGAATGCTGAAGACCTATGGACAAATGTGCAATGACTAGAATGGGTGCTGGTGCCCAACTCAGTTCTTCCTTGATTATAAAGATGATGTACTGTAAGCCAGTGCTGCTTATAAACACAGGATCTGTTTATGTTACTGCTTTAATGCTGGTTTTGCAGAGAAAAGCTGTATCCACTCTACCATTACCTTTGTGACCAAGAGAAAACTGAGTGCCTGCCAAAGCAGTACCCAAATGTGGAAGGTCTGCCTTACCATCTGTGCAAGTCCACCTGCTTGTCTCTGCCATATTTTCATTAACCATGAGGTTTGGTGCTGGACTGCCAATGATCTTGGCATCTACCTTGTCCTTCTCCAGCTCCCATAGAGTAGGGTGGACCCTTCCCCCTCATTCTGTGAGGTCCCCCCACAGGCCCAGTTTGTGTGAATTGGCACTCAGGTGTCTGTGTGGAGCAGTGAATGGGATTTGGGATCCCCTGCACTCCACGTCAGGGAGCTTCTCCTGGGACTGCTTTGATTTGTTCATGGGATAACTCTGGGCTGCATGAGTTTGGATATTATTGTAAGCTAGTGATCTTTCAGTGCTCACTGAAATAATTTTGGAAAGACTTTGTAACACTAGCAGGGAAGTCCGTACTTCTGTGTTTGTCCCTAATGCCGAGATGTGTGTCTGTTCTGAAGAAAGTGTGGGAGTACATGGGAAGTAGCACTGTTATTAGTTACCCATTAGTACCTTAGATACCTTTTGTGTAGCCCTTCACATCACAGATTTTGATCAGACCCAATCACACTTTCTTTGTGTCTTTAGACTGGATGTTAGGAAAAATTTCTTCACCAAAAGGTTGCTCAAGCATTGGAACAGGCTGCCCAGGGAAGTGATGGAGTCACCGTCCCTGGAAGTGTTCAAAACCCATGTAGATGAGGCCCCCAGTGACATGGTTTAGTCGTGGAATTGACAGTCCGGGAGTAATGGTTGGACTTGATGGTCTTAAAGCTCTTTTCCAACATAGTTGATTCTGTGATTCTGTGATTTTGGGTGGAAGGATTGTCAAAGTTCCCAGAAAAATAAACAAGTGGGTGATATTTGGCTTCTTGGTTTTTAAGCTTTCTGCATTTGTGCTTTACAGAAAATAGCATAAGTTAGTACACTGGATATTTGTTTCCTGCCATTCAATCTCTGTTCCTATTACCCTACTTTTAGTCTTTCCTTGTATAGTCTAAATCTTGATGAAATATTTAAAGATTCAAAAGATGTTAAAAGGCTTAGTGTAATTCTACTCTGTGCAAATTTCTTTTGCGCTTACATTACATAGTAACAGTCCTACCATCTTTAGATGGAAACTGTCCTATTTAGAATAAGCTGTAATTTCATTTTATTCTTTATCAGATCATGTGCTCTTTAATTTGACTGTGTTAATCAGCATGAAAGGCCTTTTTCGGGAATTTGTTAAAACCAGGCACTTTACAGACCTTCTGCTAATGCTTTTCAACATGGTTACCTTCAATATCACAGCTGTTCTGCTCTTGGCTTTGTTTTTGAAGGCTGTGCCAAATGTGGAGTACTTTGGCAATGTCTATTGATAGATTATCATTAGTTAGAGTCCCATTGTCTGTCCTAAGCAGGGGTCCCAGAGTAAACCTCCAGAGGAGAAAACAATCACACCAGCCACAAGTAAATAATTTCAATATGCTGGAGTTTTCTTCAGGCACCATTCTGAATAGCTGTAGGGTATTTCCTTTGTTTTTATCTACTGTGAGATGGCAGTGATATTGAAGAACTGTTCAAAGTTAACAATACTGTCGTGTTCTAGCTAGGAGCTAGACCACAGCATCTCTGGTGAACTTCGGGTTTGAACTTTCAGAAGCCTTGCAATATGATGGTGGATCCCACATCAAGTGTTGTTTTCAGAGGTGAAGGTATCAGCTTGCTATGTTGAGCCATGTTGGGGAAAAGCCTGGGAGCTATTACTGACGTCTGAGGGTAGCAACATCAATTTCGACAATAATAGATGCTGTCAGATTTCCTTTCTTCCTCTGTCCTTTTTTTCCTTGTAAATTGTTAAGTTGCACAGATGGGAAGGAGCCTTTTGCCTAAAAAATCATCTGTCTTTGAGTAGGAGCAAACAAGATGTTCGTTGAACACTGTCAAAATTTACCTATATTGTGGGGTGAAATCCCTTGCTTTAGTTTGATTTTTTTTAATTGCATCAGTACTACCACTGTCTCAGCATGACAAATGACTGAGCAATGGGACATCTTATTCAGAGATTCATCTTCCTCCTTTTGTTTATTTTCCTATTGCTTTTTTCTAAATAACAAGTCCTTTGCCTTCCAACAGTTTGTATTGTTGCACAGCACAGTGGCTCTTTTCCCATCAGCAGACATCTGACAGGATTTTTTTTTGCCTTAATTCAATACATGCCAAGGAGGAATTTGCACTTGTTTTGCAAATCTCTTCCAGACAGTCATTCTTTATCCAATTAAAAAATGCTCACCCTGAAATCACTGAAGGCAAAGTAATTAACTGCCAGTAGAACTGTAATTTTACTGAAATGTTATTGATTGCAGAACAAGAAGAAAATGATGGGGGTGGGGGTTATAGCCCAGTTCCTAACACCACTTTCCCTTTTACACAAGCACACACCCCATTTTACCTGGCCCTGCACAAAACCTCCACCCAGGTACAGTGTCCTGTCCCTGATATGGGGCTCTGATTAAACAGGCCATTCCCACTTACACCTCCCTTCTCTTCTCTGTAAGTCATTGTCTGAAATTTCCAGGGCACTTTCTTTAGAGCAATGCCTGGTTGCTGGGTTACCCAACAATTACTGTTTTTCATTCTCAGGGTGGGTGATGAGCAGTGACAGTCCAAGGTTGCAGTTTGCTCAATGTGCTACTCGTTGTGAGCTTTGGGTAGGAGCTCCTGTTGGAGCATCCCCCCCCCCAGCTGCAGTGGGGGAGCTTCTGCTCAAAATACAGTAGGGCTGAAATCCCAGTTTGGCACTTCTGATTTGTGTTTTTAATACACTGAGCTGCTTTTGAGTGCTCTTCCCGCTGAACCTTGTGCTTTTGTATTTCAGACTGGTCTCTTGATTAGGAGCTGTTTGGTCATATCTGAATACTTTTAAATTTGAGATTGGGTCACTTCTGCACCCAACTGCTGCTATAGCTGTTTGGAAAAAAAACCAAACAAAAAAAACAAAAAAACAACCATAACCATAATATTGAAATTCTTAAATTGAAATAATCAATGTTTGTTTCTGGCTTACTAAAATCTCAGTTACGTTTTCCTGGTTTTAATGCTATAGGCAGAGAGACTTGAAGTTAAGAAGAGGCAGCAAGAAATGCAAAGAAGAGAGATGTTCCTTGAAGATCAATATTAGTAAGTAAAATCTGAAATTTATTACCTAAAATTCTTCATCTGCTTGTCCTTCTGGTTTGGGTGGGGTTTGTATTTTATTTTATTTATTATTTGTTTGCTTTTTTCCAGTTTGGGGCTCAGGGAGGGTTTAGCTTCTGTTGCTGTTTTTTCACCTTTTGACTTGAAACTTTTGACTTTGGGGAACGAGGCAATGGGCACAAGCAAAACTACAGGAGGTTCCTCCTGAGCATCAGGAAACACTTTTTTATGATGAGGATGACTAAGCATGGGAAAAGGTTGGCCAGGGAGGTTGTGGAGTCTCTGTCCCTGAGGATATTGAAAAGTTCTGGACAACTGGTTCTAGGTGGCCCTGCTTGAGCCGGAGGTTGGATGACTTCCAGAGGTGCCTTCCAACTTCAATCACTGATTCTGTGAAATATTGCAAGCTTTGTCCATACCTTACTCTGAGAAATTTGGTTCAGTAGATTTCTCTTAGCTTCTCAAAACATACACTTTGAAATGAAAACTGTGAATTATAGAATGACTTTGTGCTTTCTTTCTCTAACTGAATCAATATATGATCATTCAAGACTAATTATTGAAATGGGATCTAAATTACCCATTTATTTTAGTGACTAGTAAAGAAATCCAACCCACATGAAAATAATGAAGACTTCCTATATGTAGCATGGTCCTACAGCTTAAATGTAAAGATCTGCTGTGAAGACCTACTTCCTAAGAATACCTCCTTAATGTCAGATTTAGATACAGTTTAACTTCTGGCATAATTAATTCCATTGGCAGTGAAATTCCTGCCCTGCCAGTTCACTCTACCCTATTTATTTAGTTTAGTCACCTTTACCTTTTTTTATCTTTGGCTCCTGAAATTGCTCAACTGTGTTCTTAGCATGATTGATTGCTCTTTCCTCCTCTGTGACCTTTAAAGGAGTCAATTTTGTCCCATGCTAGTAGCTCCAGTTCTTTCATCATTTGCCCAGACTGTTCTCTGATGTATAGACATTTTAGTGCTTTCTCACTGATCTCTGGCTTCCTTGACTTTTTCCTTTTATTTCTTCCCATTTGGCTTTAGGTACAGCTCTTTCATTAAATGCATTGCCAAAGTTTGCCTGTAGATACTGGTATTTTGCCTGCTGTTTGTCCTCTGTTTGTCCCAGTGTGGATTTCCCACACACCTGGATTCCTCAGGATTTTTGAAGACCCTGCACAGCTTTAGATCTCTGCCTGTTACTAGAGACCAGACACCTTCATGCTCTTTGAGCCTACCTCAATAATGAACTCATCAGATCTTTTCATTGCAGGGTCCTCAGTTATGGGACTTGCTTTTTCCTGAAGGGATTGTCAGTTTCCCATTTAAACTGATTTTTGTTTTAAATCTTATTCAGTTATGCACACAGACATATCTCTTGCTGTCCCTCACCTTCACTTGGTACATTTTTTTGCTTAGGGTGAAATGAATTCTGCTGATCAGCACTTTTTCGATTAAAAGTAGTCTTGGTTCTGCCAAAAGCAGGCCCAAACCATCTGAAACAACTTCTTGTGGACAGTCAGTTGGTCCCCAGGTGGTGCAGAAGCTTCCTGGACACTGAGAAGGAGGCTGCTTGACAGCTGTTTTGTCCCCTGATTTACGAATCAGTGAGTATTCAGTCTGTGTCATCTTAGGAAATCAAACTGACTGATGCAAATGAAGGTAAAGATGTATTGTTGAGCTCCTTTGCTCAAGATTATGTTCAACTATCAGAAGATTATGTGTACATATCATGTATTGAGCACACACCATGAGGGCCCTGCAGATACTGCACCTGGAGGCAGTGAGGTGAAAACCTACCTACAGTGAATACAATTTTGGTTAAGCAAAAACCTCCCATACCGTACAGTGACACTAGTGCCTTTCCTGATCTGAAGGATGGCTTCTGGTGGGCCCTGGAAGAGGAGTCTTTACCACTGGACATTGTTGAGATTGTATCGCAAAGAGACACTGGCTTTATAGAGCACAACATCCAGAAGTAATGGAAAGATACTGTGTGACATATCAGATCTTGTAAAGTAATTCCACTGAAGTGCTGACAGTTGTTCGACATGTTCACATAGAAGTGCTTGATATTTGAACTTGGCTAGGGATGTTAAGGATAGCAGGAAGGGATTCTATAGGTACGTAGTGAATAAAAAACAGACTAGGGAGAATGTAGGCCCCCTCTGGAAGCTCTCGGGAGAACTGACTACACAGGATTTGGAGAAGGCTGAGGTTCTGAATGACTTCTTTGCCTCGGTCTTCACTGACAAAGGCTCTGACCAAACCACCCAAGTCTTGGAAGGTAGATGCAGGGACTGTGAGAATGAAGACCCTGGGCCCACTGTAGGAGAGGAACTGGTTCGAGACCATCTTAAAAATCTGAACGTGCACAAGTCCATGGGTCCTGATGAAATCCATCCGCGGGTCCTGAAGGAGCTGGTGAATGAAGTTGCGAAGCCACTGACCATCATATTTGAGAAATCATGGCAGCCAGGTGAAGTTCCTGATGACTGGAAAAAGGGACCTAACTATTCTATGATTCTATTCTATGATTCTATTTAAAGATGTGATTTTGCCTACTATGCAAAAATGAGTAACTCATTACTTCCATCATTTAGGACCCTTATGTCTAGAGGCAAAGAGAACAAATATGAGGTTTTGCCCCTTTCCTTGCTGCCTCTGCTAGAGTATTTTGATCTCCTCCCATGCTTGCTAGGAGAGAGGTAAAGGAAGGTCATGCACTGCATATAAATCAGTGACCTCTGCAAAGTCATATCCTGTGGAGCCCTTTCAAAAGATAAGCTGCCTTGTTAGCTTGTCCTCTGTAAGCCTGTGCAGCTGCAACATCACAATTTTCCTGAGGAGATCAATGCCTACCAGCAGTCTCATTAGCTGGGAAACCTTTTAAAATTGATCACCACCTCCAGCTGTATCAGTCTCCACGGGGTACAGCCCAATCAGCACCTCTCCTTTATGAAATGCCACTTCTATTTGATAAGGAAAGGCAATTAAGATTCTCATGTCATTAACATACTCTGGCAATAAAGTATGATGCTGCCCAGGAGTTTGTTGTTCTGATTAAATTCCTATCACTATTAAAACCAAGAACATCTCACTGAAATCACCTTTCAAAGGGTGTAACATGAAGTAAGTAAATGCCAAAAGGGAAAATTATCTGCAATATTGTCCACTGTCTTCAGAATACAGTCACCTCCTATCTTTTGGGAGCTTTGTTAGCTTCTTTGTGTACAACTAGCCCTTGGAAGTCAGCTGTATCTGTTGTCACAGTTGCTTGGCTATGTGTTTATGTCTCGTGAGAATGAGGTCTAGGCATGCATACAGAAGGCTGTGGAAAATTCTGCAAGCCTCTCTCTTTTGGGATCAGCAGCTCCTCTAGCTCCTCTGACCCAGGTGGACTCAGACTCTCTTAGGTGACAAAGATTGACAAAACTTACAAGGTACCTCTTAAAGCAGCTGTGTATAAACAGCCTGAAGAGCACACAGGAACAGACTTTGGGGTGGGGGAACTGCTGTGTGACTGGTTTCTACTGACAGAGGAGAAGCACTTGAGAGATTTGTGTTATTATTGCTGTAGTTCTGCCAGATCTAGAAAATGAGTATTTGTCCCCTTTTCTACCGGAAACTGCTCATACATGAAATGGAGCCCTTGCTTCTGAGTAATGGTGTCTTACATGTATTTTACATTGATGGCCTGTGACAGAGACTGCATTTCTGTCAGAATGCATTAAAAGGTGATAAATGACTGTGTAATCCTTACTTTGCAATTGCTAATCCTGGTGAGGAAAGGACTAACTGTTCTCTTTTTAAGTGGGAGCAAAGAAGAGGTTAGGTGGCTGGCCCAGGACATTTTAGGACATCCCTCTTTAGATGGGAGACACAAATTGTCATTTAGACAGTAATGAGAGATGGCTAACTCATGCCTTACTTTTCTCTGTGGCTTGCTGTGCAGGCTGTGTGAATCTGTGCCTGAACTGCTCAAACCATGTGGTTTGAGCCCAGCTCTTTAGTAAGGTGCTTTTATTTAATTTGGATTTGACTTCCCAGTAACTGTAGTGTTTGAAGGGGTTTGCTGCTTTCCTAATAGCCATCTACCTATTTACATAATGAGAAAAGCAGTCTAGAACATAGGGTTACTTTTTAACAGTATACCATGGCTGTTATATCACTTCATCCTTCCCTTTGTTACGCGTTCATGCCTCTGTTTTTGTGAAGGTTGTGCTTCTGTAAAAATTCCTGGCACTGCTGCACTCAGGTACATGTGTGCACTCAATATGTTCTGCTCAGAATCTGGAGCTGGAAACAGAACTTGCCAGAGTGCCTCTAAGCGCGTATTCTGAGCACAATGCAGAAGGTTCACCAAACCAAGCTGATATACAAGCGCCTGCCAAAGCAGTTTTCTCAAAAGTCATAAAATGCAAGAAAATAAAGCCTGAATCAGACCAGAATTTTTATTTTTTTTTATCTATTTTCACAGGATAAATACTGGTGTCCTTGCCAGTTTTCAGTCCCCTATGATGTGTGGTTCAAACAACAGGCTGGTAACAAATTTTCCCCACAGAAGTGCAAGTGGAAACCTGACCGGACTTTTAATATAGATTGATAGAGAGAATGAAAGAGGGCTTGCACAAAAAGGGTTTGCAGCCTTGAGAATCTTTTGTTTGCTTCTTTTCACCACAATGGTCTTCATTTTGTTCATTTGCTCCTTATTATTTTAAGCATTGTCAATTATTTAGCTAACAGGCAGAAAACTAGGCTTTTATAGACATCCAAAGGGACTCTCTTGAGTGTAATAATGAAGGCAGTTTATTGAATGCCTGTGAGGTTGCTTTCTAATTGTATGCATTATTCTGCCCATGCAAGCTGGCTGAAAATATCGAAGCAGATTGCACATGCAGATGGAGCACACAGAATGGAAGATCTATGCAACAGACTTACACAAAACTGCATTTTCCATAAAACTGAATTTATG